TCCACCATGTCCTCTGCTAACCTTCCAAGGCATGCCAACGTCCAAAAGCCTATGCCCAGGATCTCCCTCCTCCTGTGACATTGCCTGTGAATATACAGAGGTGTCTGTGGAACACACCATGTTAAGGACAACGGGTTCTCAGTCTCAAGAGGGAAAAGGAAAAGAATCATTTGAGGCATTTTGGCCCATTTGAGGGTGGCCACTTCAAGGCTAAACATGGCTGCTAGATTTCAAGACATCTCTAAAAAATAAGACTACTTCACAACCAGGGCTACAAAAAAAAAAAAAAAAAAAAAAAAAAAAAATCAGGGACTAGAGGTCAAACCCTAAGCTACATTTTCCTACTCTATTCCCTGCTGGCTGGGAGCAAGAAGGAATGTGGGGACAGCAACAGAGACGAAGGAGGTTCCCCAGTTCCAGGGCCAATACTCTTACTGGCTTGGGTAAGTGTTGCTTAATCTGTCACACCTGTGAAATAGGAACAGTGACTATGATGGGTGATCACAGCATTAAAAGAACAAAATTCCAAGTGTACTATAACTGGCCAGTGAATTAGGATGGCTTCAGAAACTATGGAGCATCTTAAATAGCAACCATCTAGGAGCTTAGAAAGTCTTGCAAGAGGCCAGGTGCAGTGGCTTACGTCTGTAATCCCAGCACTTTGGGAGGACGAGGTGGGCAGATCACTTGGGGTCAGGAGTTCGAGGCCAGGCCTATCTCTACTAAAAGTACAAAAATTAGCTGGGTGTGGTGGTGGGCACCTGTAATCCCAGCTATTCCAGAGGCTGAGGCAGGAGAATCAATTGAACCCGGGAGGCGGAGGTTGCAGTGAGCCAAGATCTTGCCACTGCACTCCAGCCTCAGAAACAGAGTGAGACTTGTCTAAAAAAGAGAAGTCTTGCAAGAGACAGATCAAGTGATTTTATTTATTTATTTTTTTTTTTTGAGACAAGAGTCTCACTCTGTCACCAGACGCCAGGCTGGAGTGCAATGGTGTGATCTCGGCTCACCGCAACCTCTGCCTCCTAGGTTCAGGCAATTCTCCTGCCTCAGCCTCCCAAGTAGCTGGGACTATAGGCGTGTGCTACCATGCTCAGCTAAATTTTTTTGTATTTTTTAGTAGAGATCGGGTTTCACCATGTTGGCCAGGATGGTCTCGATCTCTTGACCTCGTGATCCACCCGCCTCGGCCTCCCAGAGTGCAGGGATTACAGGCCTGAGCCACCGCGCCCGGCCTCAAGTGATTTTAAAACACTCTCTTGCCTTTAGGAGGCCGAGGCAGGATGATCCCCCCACTGAGCCCAGGAGTTTGAGACCCACCTAAACAACATAGTGAGACCCTGTCTTTATAAAAAAAAGTTTTTAAAAAGAATTAGCCAGGCTTGGTAGCCCACACTAGTCCCAGCTACCTATGAGGCTGAGGTGGGGGGATCACTTGAAGCATGGGAGGTGGAAGCTGCAGTGAGCTGTGATGACGCCACTGTACTCCAAACTGGGTGAAAGAGCAAGACCCTGTCTCAAAAAAAACCAAAACCAACTGTCGCCCCTCAATACCCCACACACGATACTGATACTCTCTTAAGCAACTTGGATCAACCTACGCTCTTCCTCTACATTCCTTCTGTAAAATGTACTCATGGTCTTAGCCTGCTGAACACCTGTGGCCTGCTCTCTTTTATTCTCATCGCATAGTATTCGTTCCTAATCATACTAGTCAACTTGTTGTATCAACTATGTTTTAATTGACTATTACGTAAACCAATGAAATTTGAGTGTGAAGTTGTTTTTATAAAAACCAAATTGAGTTACTTACTTGTAAAACTGTCAGTTTAGGTGGGTGGAATTCTTACAAAAGATTAGAGAAAATGAGTAAATATTTAGAATTCTAAAATCAAATTCGTAGGCCAGGCATGGTGGCTCACTTTGGAAGGCTGGGGCAGGTGGATCACTTGAGGTCAGGAGTTTGAAATCAGCCTAGTCAACATGGTGAAACCCTGTCTGTATAAAAATACAAAATTAGCCAGACGTAGTGGCACATGCCTGTAATCCCAGCTACTTGGGAAGCTAAGGCAGGAGAATCACTTGAACCTGGTCGGCAGAGGTTGCAGTGAGTTGACATAGAGCCACTGTACCCCAGCCTGGGCAAGGGTGAAACTCTGTCACCAAAAAAAAAAAAAATTCTTTTGTTGTGCAAATTCTTTAAAAATAATTTTTAAGAAGCACAAGCTGAAATCATAGCTAATGCATTTTGCCTATTATGAATGAAGTCCCTCATGCCCAAACTGTAATTTTTCTCAATTTTTGAGTTTGAGAACTCTAATATACATAAGATTTAAGTTAAATGTATTTTTCTCATCCATTAATTTAACTTTTTAATTAACTGTTGAACTACTCGTCCTGATCATATACAAAAGGAACTTTTGAGTGTGTGGGTTCGCAGTAGAATAATGGTCAGTGAAAAAGTACTGACAGGGGCAGAAAGGAGGCAGTGTTTGCAACTATACTCCTCTCCAACTTCTAGCTAGGTAAGTTTGCCAGGAGCTAAAAGTTTTGGTGTTTAGGGGGTGCCTTTCGACATTTATATTAAATAGAGAAAATAACTTTTGTTTCCTCAGGAAGACAACTTTTTTTTTAGGGCAACTTGTAAATTTCTCAATTTTCCCATCCAAGGGAGGCAGAAAGAATATTCTTTGGCCTCCACTCACCTGGAACAAGTCAAATGACCTGAGCATTCCATTCTATTACTGCGATGCAGCCGGTTATCCTGAAAATAAGAAACTCACCCAAACTCACCACTTTCTTCATCCTTGTACAATTAACCCAGAACACAAACAGGGAGCTGGATTATCTGCTGCTGTTGACTGGCTTTAAATGTTCTGTTTATACTGATAAAAACGTAAGGTACATTCCTATATAAGCAATATTGAAACACGAAAACTTGTTCATACAAACTTGAAGGGAGAAGTGAAAATATACACTTTACAAATTGATTCTTTACACCCTCAGACAGGATTTACAACAGTATTACTTTATGTAAATTCCTACTATATACATTTTGTTTGTTTAGGCAGCTTTTCAGTAACATTTGTTATAAGTTACACATGAAGCCTCCCAAGAGAAAGCTGAGAGGCTTAAGAGAGCCACATGCAAAGGACTGGTGAGAGGGGCAAAGAGGGCGAAGCCAGCACTCGGCTGCCTCATAGTCAACTAGGAATTGAGGGACCCCCGACCCTCTTACATAGCTCAATAAAGGCCAACACTGGATCTTCATTGCTTTCCTCACCTCTTCTTCCCAAGAAGCAACTTTTCATCAGAAGGGATTGTGTTTTCTGCAGCTCTATGGCAAGGAAAGACTACTCTTAATATAGGCTGACACTAGCATGGACTAGCATGTAGTTAGTCTGATGATGAATAATCAGCTCTGGCTTAATGCATCACAATGGGCAATGACTCTTAAAATCCTTGTTGTCCAATTCTGTCTCCTGGTACAGGTATATAGCATCTGGAATCCATTCCGGTCTGTGCTATATGGCAAGAAACATAGGCAAGACTGAACCCAGAAAAACACCCACGGGTACTAAATAACAATCAATGCCTGCTCTAAGCCAGAAGCAGGTCTTAACAGACTGCCAAATATCTGTCAAGATTTTTAAGTGGAATAAAAACAGGCGGAAAGCCATTACAAAGGGCCTTCAGAGTACCACCTGCATTGGTAGAGCCATGTTTCACCCTCTTCCAGGTAGACATCTACTCTATTCTCAGGCTAATCTTACGCCAACACCCAAAGAGCCACGTTGCTTTTGATGGTGGGTATAATGGCAAAATCAGGTACATTTCAGACACTTTGCCAAAATACCCAAAGCCTCAAGATCTTTATTGTCATTTTCTTAAAGCTCTGCACTGGAGAAGGAAGCAGGGAGATTCAGGTTTTTACCAACCTCCACCAGTGGCATCTCTCCTTTATGTTACCCTTGAGATAGAAAAATGAATCCCACCTCCCAGGATACTGAAATGAAGCTGTAAAGATGTCAACTTTCTGTAAAGCTAGTCCAAATTACATAATCTTTCTCTACCCTTTGGTGCAGAGTTCACCAGATTCTCTTTACCCACTGACCCTCCTCCTGGCTCAGGCTCTAACTTAACACAGCCCTTCCCCTCTCCCACCTTACATACCTGCAGGACTACTGACATGGAAGCTGAAATGTCAGTTTCTGTGTGCATTTTATCATGTTGCCCTACAAATTCAGAGGTTTCTCTGGTACAGGCCAGCTTCAGAGCTAACACACAATGAAACATGGTTTTCAGATCACAGCATCAGTCTGTAGTTATTTTAGGGATACAACAAAACAAACAGAAGGCATAAACTGGAAAGTAAATGTATCTCTGTGTTCACTGATGGTGTGATGGTGTACAAGGTAGGACCAACACTGTAGGAGAACTGGAAGACAAAAAACCCAGGTTTCGTTGTTTACTAGTTGTATAGCTTTGGGCAACTGACATTCTCTTTAACTTCAGCATCATCACATGTAATGGTCAGTGGTTCTCATCCAGCAAGGGCGTGGTTCAAATATACACATGCCTACCTTTTCTGCCTCACTCAGAGGTACAAAGATCCCATCTTCTCAAGGATGCTATTGTCAGGGACTGTGTACCACTCACAGGTGAAGACGACAAACTAGTGGGGATGGGGGCAGAGGTTGTGCGTACTAGATGGCAGAAGCTCTCTAAGTAAGCAGTGGCTTTCATACTGGCAGCAGAGTCTTGTTTTAAACTTAATTTCTCAATAGAAGAAAGGATTGGGACAGTTGGGATCATCATATCTCAATGCTGGGGGTGAGGAAGGAGGTTCTAAGAATTTGAATACTAACAAGGCCAAACCACGATGATTCCAGATTGTACTCTGGAGACTATTCTCCAGACTGGAGACTATTGGCCCCAGAACCCCCATCAGACGAGGAGAAACATCACAACAACTGCAGAAAACTGCAGACAACTAGAAATCATTCTTAAAGAGATTTAATTTTTTGAAGTGCATAAAAGGGGAGAGTACATTTAAATCTCTGCTATATCACAAACTGCTGTTTTTGTTGTTGTTTTATTAAAGACCCACCAATTTACTCATCTTCAGGTTTATGGCTGTAGAATGTGGGGAAAACAAATATTGGCAACAGAATAGGAAAAAGTAAGCAAAAGTCTGTTCTGTTCACCGGAATGTCTTCTCCACTGCAGAACAGAGCCCTTTAAAAAAGAAAAGCAAGGAAAATAGCTATAGGCTATCCATAGCCAGTAATGACAGCTGGTTAGAAAGAAATGAGAAAGAGAACCAGGAGGCAAAGCCTGGGAATTCACAAGTCTCCTCTCAAGACATATACTAAACCTGGAACTCTACGAAGATTAATGTTCCTTAGATTTCCTTCCAACGTCTTAACCCTAAAACCAAGTTCTCCTGTCAATTCAAATATAATAATGGCATCATTACACAAGGAGCACTGATTTGAGGATTGAAGTGATTTGCCAACATTCTGAGAAAGCTTTAGCAAAAGGAGCACGGCTTTAAAGACAGGTTCTAGTCCTTAAAGACAGAGGGGTTCTTTGTTAGTGAGGGCTGTAGGCCTATGGTCCACCAAACAGAGCAGGACACAAAAGAAGAATCCCCTAATGTTGTTTGCAGGCTAACATCCACTGCCACTGCAACTCGGTTGGGCAGAAGCAAAAGCAAGCAACCCCTTCTGGCTGTGTAAGCCCATACTGGAGAGGGGCAGAAGAAGCTATGCTCTAATGGCTCTAAATAATCAGCATTTAGTGTTATGTTAGGATGAAGGATTTATTCCACAATATAAACTGTAACATTTGATACAAGCTACCAAAAAATAGGGGCAGAAGAAAGGGGCAGGGAGAAAGCCAAAATACAGCTGTGGCAATTACTTACAGAGAAGTCTCTTTTCTACATCACTAGTTCATCAGTGACACTAGAAACTAGACATTTGTGTTCTGTACATCAACCAGTTGCTAAAGCACCAACACACTGTTTGGAAGTTTGTTTTGTTTTGTTTTAATTCCAGCCACGGAAACCAACACGGAAGTTATTGCTCAGATAAATAAACCTAGTCTATCAGGAAAAAGAAAAGTGGATAAAGAAAAAGAAGAAACAAACAAAACCCCCCAAAGTGAAAAACTTAAAAATGTCCCCAATCTGGTAAAGGAGTAAACAAGGGAGAGCCTCCTCAAATGAGGATTTACTGGAATTTCCGGTGGGCGCCCTTCTGGGCCCTGGAAGTGAGTTGGACTCTTAAGCTGGTAAATCCCAGACAGAGGTAAAATTTTAATGCTGTACATGAAAAGGTGCAAGCTTCAATGCCTTCCAAATTGGTGGGAACCCCTGCAAAAAACAGTCAGCTTTTCAAACCTCAACAACCACAAACAGCTCTTAAGGAAAAAATACAAAAAGTGTCAAAAATTTTTTTAGTTGTTTTTTCTTTTCTTCAAAGAGTCCTGGAAAAATGATCCCATAAGGAATAGAAATAGCACCGTTTACAGGCTGGCTTGAGTACCAGTCCTGTAGCTTTGCTGAGATTTGAAGAAATCCTCTTGGTTGGAGTCCTGAATTACATTAAGTAGTGGGGGGGGGGTATCTGTTTTTGTGTTTTTACTTTCGGCTTGGTGCGTCCTTCACAGTACAGCGCACACAGATGTAGTCTTCTTTCTCTGCCATCTCTGGGGAGACACCAACACAGACCTGATGAAACCACTGATTGCAGCTGCCATCACACTGGACCCAGTCCACCTGGTTACAAAGAGCAGGAAGATGGGGTTTTCAGAGGAAAAAAATGGATTCAAAAGTGGGCAGTCCAGCCTCAAGAAATTCAGGCCGTTAGCCAATAACGGCCACTGTCGCACCACTGGGACCTCTGGCACAACAGCTAAGCCAAATGAGTGTAGCTGGCCCCCTAGCCAAAGCAACCGAGTCAAAGTCATTCTTCAAGTCGTGTCTGCTTTGGGGTAAAGACAGCGCTGCCCTGTGATAAGCCAAAGGGCATTACATCAGCATCCCTCCCACCTTCTTAGCGCCGGGAAGGTGAAAGCTGGAAGAGCAAGAAAAGGAAAAAGGGAAGAACAAGAGTTTCTTCAAGAAAAGGGAGGAGACCCAGGAACGATGGTAAGAGCACAGATATCAGTGGGGGGAGGGCTGAGCAATCCATTCAGATCAGCTCAAAGCAGATAAGCAGAAGAGAAAGACCCAGCGAGATGAGGTCTAGCTTACAGGGTTTCTGAGTTAAGGGAAAGCACGTCCTCTATGGCCCAAACCTCACTGACCTCATCTCCTTCTGGCTGCAGGCAGCTCACAGCTGGGCAGATGGCATCTTCATCCTCAGAGTCCTCCTGTTCGGAATAGGATGTGTCTGAGGGCAGGGAATGAGTTTCGGCAGAACGAACTAATTCATAGCTACGCTCTCTCTCTAATTTGAAATTGTTCATGTCCTTGGGGTGGCTCAGTTTGATTTTCTTCTTTTTGGGGGTCCGCATTTTCTTAACTCGTTCCCACCGCTCACTGGAGAGGCCCTCTCTTTCCAGGCGTCTCTTCAGTTTTCTCTCAAGACTGTTAATTCCATCTCGCTTCCCTCGGCAACAGTCATTCTGGATGGAAGACAGGAAAAGTTCAATTTTAGCCTATGGTTCACCTATTACTAAAACTAGTGAAGCTAAAGAGGACATGTAAATTAGAAATCAGATGATCCCCCACTCTACACAGAAAAAAAAAAAAAAAAAACTGCATCTTAACCACTCCCCTCCCAGTCTTAACTAGTTTGGGTGTAACATACTTCCTTCCCCTGTCACTGTTAGTGCTAACAAAGGATCCCTGGGAAAAGGAATGTTAAAGACGTGATCAGCCTTCAAATTAGCCAACCAATGGCAGAAGATGGAGAGGGGGCCACCAAGTCTTCCTTTCACTAAATCCCTGAATGACTAACTATCGTTTCTGTCTAGGTGTTTAAGTCTATCCTTTGACCTACAGGCTCCTGAGGAACCACACTGATATCTTCCTTCTTTAAGGATGTATACCTTCACACCTTATAGGAGTAAGGTGTATTAACTGAATACATTCAACGATCATGCCATACTACTTGGTATCATAATGAAAAATGAAATTCTAAATGCCAACACTAGCCCTCATGCTATCTTTAGAGAAGTTCTTCCCTAATTTAGCTTCAGGCTTCCCAGTAGTATTCTCAGGGGCCTTAAATGTGATAGGTCAGTCAGTTCACTAGAAGGAAGTGGCAGCAGCAGTATCCTTAACTATGTTAAGAAACAGAATATTAAGGAATATCCTTCAAGTAAGTCAGCATTCAAAATGGGTCAGTCTAATTACCCAGTCCTCACACCAGCTGTCTTGTTAGGTTGGGAGGAGTACAAGAAAGCATGTTAAAATGTTGACTCTAGGAATATCTTTGATTCTAAGAGTTTATCCCAAAATGCCTTTCCAATCATCTTTACAGTTATTTCTCTTATAGGGGAAAAATAACCCTGCTTCTCACCATTACCACTTGGGAATGATGAGGAGGCATTTGCTAAAAAGAAAGTAAATATTCACACAGTGACTTAAAACAGGAACAAAATCCAGGTTGCATGCCCAAACTGTAGCAGATGACACCCAGCACCTACCTTCTCACCGACAGCTTTAGGAGCAGAAATGTGAGGTACAGAGTCTGCATCCTTTTCTGGATCAAAGATACCATCTCATTCACCAAACTATTTAGATAGAATGACACTAAAAAGCATACCTCCACCCCAGACTGTGCCTTTCCCAGAAGCCTCTCAGACACTTACCTTTTCACTGCTGGGTCTCACTGGTGAGCTTCTGTCAGTCTGCTGAGCAGGGCTTGGCTTTGCAAGTAAAGTCTGGTAAAGTTCCTGAATTTCAGGAAGGGATACCTGGAGCAGCTGGGCTTCCATCAATAGTTCATTCACGTCTGGACTAACGCCTGTTAAAGACAGACCAAATCAAAATGTTAACAACAAAGGGTGTTTCACATTCACATTTGGATCTATGGGACAAACAGAAGGACTGCCCCTCATACTACTACCCTCTCCTTAAATTGCAAATTACCTTCAGTTTACGTGAGGTTTACTTAATGTGCCTAAAACCACAATAAACAGAACCAAAACTAGATTTCCTAAGTCTTCTGATTACTAGTATTAATTCTACACTAAATCCCCTTCTCATGTAACTTATTGCTAATGAAGAAATTGTACTTCTGCCTTGATGGCTTCTAATAGAAAGCATAGAAACATCAGATGATACTTAAGTCTATAGGCCATCAAAAAAGAAAAAGGAAAAAAAAAAAAAAAGCATAGAAACAAACTGATGGCCCACAGCATGAAAAGTCTGAGTAGACTGAGGAGCTCTAACCACATTACTAGACACACAATGAGATGCTGTGACTAAGGATCAGGACTCAAGCAAATGTGGATTATCCCTAAGATTCTCCACAAGCCTCCCAAGTAATGAAGCAACAAGGGAGCCTGTGACTTAGACACCAGTGTCTAATTATCAGTTGGTGTGGCATGAACCCTTTAATCCCTGAGGACAATGGATATAAAGCCTTCCTCTCTTTTCCTTTCCATTTATCCATTTAGAAGCCTTCAAATAGGATCCCTTCCCTATTCTGCAAATACATAATAGCCTATATATCCTGCATTTCACCATAAAGTCCTTTTTTTTTTTTTTTTGCTTTTAAAGATGGGGTTTCACCATGACAGCCAGGCTGGTCTTGAACTCTTGACCTCAGATGATACACCCACCTTGGCCTCCCAAAGTGCTAGGATTAGGCATGAGCCACCATGCCTGGCCATAAAGTCCTTTTTTATGATCATCTATAACAAAAATCTAGTAATACAAGATAACTCATTACTATCCAGCCCTCAATATAATAATAACAAAATACAAACCGTGGAGGGGGATACAACTCCATCCAGTAGAGAAGGGAGAGTGCAAATATGAGGTTCTGTTGTCCCAGTCATCAGGCAAGGAAAATGATGTTGTGCCAGAGGGCTGAGATACCTAATAGAGGGAAAAGGTTTTATAATAAAATCTCTTCAGGATTAAAAATACTCCCATTAGTCCAATGACACTAGCTTGCATTACCCAGGCAGGCAACCGGGGAAAAAAAAACTTGATTTTCCCCTACTGAAGAGTCTCCTGGCATTTCAGAACTGGCCAGATCAACTCATATCCTCCCAAAGACCAAGCCTTTAATCTTTCCAGTTTTACTTGGACTGATTTCAGAGATATAAAGACAACTGGGAAATAAGCCATTTTCTCAGGGTGAGAACAAATCATACAGTCTTTTAATCTTTTTCTGATTCTCCTTATTGAAGATTAAAATACAATGAACACATATGTATCCCCCTGAGTAAACCAAATGAGGACCTGTCAGAAATCATCCATCACCACTTCCCTGTCTTCCTTAGTGTTTTCTTAAAGGAGCTGGGGAAACACTTCTTTGAACACGAATTAATAATTAATAGTTGTGTCCTTTCCCTTTAAAAAGAAAGGTAAATTCCTAGCACATCCTGGGTAAAGAACACCAATGACTCCACTATGGGAGTGTGTATAGATGCCACAACTCATCTATGCAACAAATATTTGATTCATCATCTGCGATGTGTCAGGCACTATATTTCGGAAGCCTGCAAAGAAATAAAAAACCAAGGAAACAAACAGGACAGAGAGACTATTTTTTCCGGTCCTCATCTCTGATCTTAGCAACAATTTAACTCATATAATCCATGTGTGTCTGCTCATACGGCACAAGAGAGTTGTGATATCTCTGGTATGAAAATATGTATCAAATTAAAAAACATCAGATTAACCTTATTAAAAAAAATTGAATACTGCCTTCCTGATTGTTCTTTTTTGTTGTCTTCACATTCTTTTATGGCAGCCACCTAAGGAGGATGACAGAAAACTCTATCCATCCAGTGATGGTCAAAACAGAAAGATTGCAAATGGTGTGAAACCCAGTTCTCCTCTGAAATAACATAGTGCTCAAACACTTCTTCCAAAAATTTATCTTCCAAAAAGAGGTAAGAGGCAGGAAGCACTTTCCCTTTCTACTAATTTACTTACATGAGAAGAAGCAGGAAAAAAAACTTTTTAGTCAGGCAAATATTTAAAGATACATCATATATGTATATGTAGAATATATATGGGTCAGCACACATATTAACGAAAAAATTATTTGTATCTGTGAAAAGGTAAAGATGTGTTCTATAAAAACAGAATGCCTGAGAAACAACTTCTATTAGGAGCAGAGGACACTAAAACAATATGGGATACCTGTATGCTCTTGCAGTGGGAAGCTACAGGTAAAGTGGGTGCTGCTAACAGTAAAGTGATCACCAAGGGAATAGCAACACCAAAGCTATAGGTTCAAGAGAAAGGTACAGAGCTTTACAAAAATTTCAATAACCCAACAAGAAAAGTCCAGATTCACCTTGTTTGTGTCTGACACCTGTCCTGCTGAGGCTTGCCATCTGCTATGTAACAGTCCTGAGCCCACTCGATCTTGCACAAATTTAAGATTCCCTGATGAAAGTAGTTGCTGGGCTCTGTGCTGCCAGTTCACGGTTCTTTCAATCATATATCGAAGTGCATCTCCCTCAGGAAGACGAACTCGGATACGCTGCAGGGAGGCGAGCAGGGGCAGAATTTTCTCTAATGGAGGTTTCTCTGACCTCCGACAATGGGGACAAAGCCAGATTCGGGGGCCCTGTGAAATACTGGGTACCGCCACACAACTGGTGTGGAAAGCATCCCTGCAGAGTTCACACTGGATCATAGGGGCAGCTGGGGCCTTCTGACATAGGCAGATTTTTATATCCACATCGTGGACAGGCGAGAGCAATTTCCTTTCATTGGCAAGTCTGAGAGACTGCAAGGCTTCCATTTCCCTTAAGCGAGCTTCCCCAAGAGTTGCCATCTGAAAAAGAGTTAACAATCAAGGATGATGTCATAGAGAACTCAGCCTTTCCCTAAAAGTCAAAGTCCCAGTGGTTAAGAGCATAGGATCCTGAGTAGATTAACTGTATTCAAATCCTGACTCTGCCTCGTACTAAGCTGTGTGAGTGACCTGGGGCTACATATTCCACTGTGGCTAAATTTCTTATGTCTGCATGTGTAAAACAGAGGTGGTAACAGTGCACACCTCACAGGACTGAGATGACAAGTTAAGGGCACTTTGTCTGAAACATAGTAGACAAGTTCTCAAAAAAAAAAAAAAGTGTCATAGTTAAACCGTTTCTAATGATCACATCTATCCACTTTCAGATCCATCACGATTCACCAGATGAAGCACCCTTACAAGGCCAGAATAAACTCTCCATTATCGCTTAAAAAAACAAACAAACAAAAAAACCTAAAAGCCAAAGACCTTTGGTATATTAAAAAAAAAAAAAAAAGACGAACAACATTGTGGACAAAATTTTTTTAAAATCCACTTAATTTTGTAAATATAATACACAGGTAATATGTGTGGATTATATGATAACAAGGTAACTTCTCACAGCTTAGAGATGGAAAGCAAATGACTAACCTTTGAGTTCTACCACAAATTAACAGAACATGTGTAGGAAGAATTCTTAAACCAGGGGTCTAAAGACAAGATGGGCACAGACTAAATCTATGAAAGATACTGCATATAAAGTTTCAAACTCACATATATACATCTCGGGAGAGAGAGACTGTAACTTTCAGTTAGTCTTTATAAAAATGAACCAGAGATGTAATGGAGGACCTTTGATGGCAGAAATTTGTCTAGAACCCAACCAAATATACAAATATACACCAAAGAACATCTGTGTCAAAATACATAAATAAATCAAGGCAACCAATGTCTCTCACAAGAGGTTTGGCAGCTACAAAAAAAATCAATGGGAGAAGATGCCTGGATCCAAGGATGAACCCATTCGGTATACATTCCCACTGTAGGACGGTCAATGCTTTGTGCCATTAAAAGCATCACATAGGCCAGGCGTGGTGGCTCACGCTTGTAATCCAAGCACTTTGGAGGCCAAGGCAGGCGGATCACCAGAGGTCAGGAGTTCAAGACCAGCCTGACCAACATGGTGAAACCCCATGTTGGGGTTTTTTTTTTTTTAAAGCATCACATAGCTATCCCTCTTTCATCCTGATAAGGTGTTCAATGTGTAACATTGGTTACACATTGCTTCATCGTCTTGAAACTATCATCTTTGAATGAACACTATTTACTAAACACAGGTCAGAGATGTTAAGGTCTTCGAGAGGAGTATCAAAGTATCCAGCAAACTTTTCAATGTCCTTCTTTACTGTAAATTAATAAATTGGTACTGCAGTTCCGTATGTCTATTAATATTAGCCCAATATCTTTAGTCAGCATTCCTGGATCAATCCACAGGCACTGACAAGACTGTTTCTGCACTTGCAAGACACTGACTGGGAAGCCTATCCTGAAATTTTCACACATCTATGCATCTTACCATTCAAAACTCTTATACTTGACAATTTTCAGAAAAGTCTTTTCATTAAAACTGAGCACTTCCAAGTTACTCTACTTGCCTTCTCTAAATTCCTATAAACCAGAAAAAATCATTCTCCTCTACAATGCAGAAGGGAGAAGAAAAAACCCCTACATACAGCTGAAGCAGTCTCCTTGCTTTCAGTTAAAGCTCTCTCCAGGTCACTCAGACTCTCTAATTTGGTGCTTTTTTTCTTTCCATTTGGCAAGGGCTCCTTTAACTTTCTCTGCTTCCTTTTCAATCCCAAAAGGCCAATATCACATCGAGGACACAGCACCTAATGTGGGACAGAGCACAACCAATGGTAAAATAAATTTCAGATAAAGCATTAGGTAGAAGTCCCAAAATAAAAGCCTAAGCAGTAAAAAGGATGTGCATTTCTTAGTACTGAACATTCTCTTTAGAACATCTTCTCCTAAGAGACTCAGGAGTCAACGCTGAGACTCTCCTTTACAAAAGGAAGATGGAAGAAGGTGCATGAAAGATCCACTGATTCCTGATTCAATTAACAAGTAAAAAAATGTGATATAGACTGACTGATCCCAGTCATGATGCACAAGCAACAGCTTACAGAAAATACAAAAAGTCCATCTAAAGCACATTTTTTTTTTTTTTGGAGATGGAGTCTCACTCTGTCGCCAGGCTGGAGTGCAGTGACACGATCTCAGCTCACTGCAACCTCCCCCTCCTGGGTTCAAGTGATTCTTCTGCCTCAGCCTCCCGAGTAGCTGGGACTACAGGCATACACCACCATGCCCAGCTAATTTTTTTATTTTTAGTAGAGACAGGGCTTCAGCATATTGGCCAGGCTGGTCTCGAACTCCTGACCTTGTGATCCACCCACCTTGGCCTCCCCAAAGTGCTAGGATTACAGGCGTGAGCCATTGTGCCTGGCCTAAAGCACTTTTAAAAGATGGGGGAGATCATTTATCAGGCTTACTAAATTCAGGTGGGTGAAGCATGGCCAAGTTTAAGAGTCCAATTTCAACACAGAGGAATTTAACCCAACAGGAAAAGGTTTTCTTCTTTGGATTCTAACTGCTATCCTAAATGAATCAAGAAAACATTTAAAGGTTGCTTCACCAGAAGATTAGAAGAATCACCCTGGCTTTACTGGAATAACAACTCACAGAATATAGATTAATCTATGATGTCATCTTTGTACGTGATGAACTGCATGTTTTACCAAACTAGGAGATGAGCTGGTTATAAACTTACCTCTAAGAGAGAATATGGAGAATTCTCAGTCAAGAATGTATTAACAGCACATTCTTTCCATGCCTGAACCTCAGCTACTAGGGATTCCAGTCTTGGCAAAGAATTCAGATGTACCGGGATAGATCGGCCTCGTGTAACAAGATCTATGAGTGTGTCTAACACTGGCACACGTCCTCCAGCCTAGTAAGAAAAATTACACTAGTTTGGAAAAAAGAATACCTCTATGAAAAATAGAAAAGGCATAATTCAGATTGGTTCATGATCTTAGCATGCTAAATTCAGAAATGTTAAATAAACTGCCAACTGACCAATGATGTTGGGGGTAGAAGTGACATTTTTTCCTTTATTACACAAATACTTCAGATAACCTAGTTTGAGGTTTTTTTTATTGTTGTTGTTGGTGGTGGTTTTTATTCTTTTTTAAGATGGAATTCAACAGAAATGAAGGTTTGTACTAACTCAAGACTTTCACACTGAATTACACAAATAAAAAGCAACAAAACAATATTTTACTCCAATCCACTCACCAATGATGAACTAAAGCAACTCAACACAAATTATTCAGGAAACTAAAATATGAGTTGAGACAGCCCAGTGGTTCTCAAACTTTAGCATGCATAAGAATTATCTGGAAGCCTTATTTAAAGACAGTTTCCTTAGTCCCATGCCCAAATATTCTAAGTCAGTAGGTTAGAGGAAGATCCATAAATTTGCACTTCTAACAAGTTCCCAGGTGAAGCTGCTATTGCCAATGCTAATACTGCTGGTCTGGGAACTATATTTTGAGAAAGAGCTAGCCAAACTAGAAGGAGAGTAGAGAGGATGAAATGGATTGGTGTTGCTCCAGTACAATGTAAAACTTAGCATCACCAATGGTGGGTCATCCAAATATGTCTCCTGTTGTGACACAATATAGAATATACAATACTACCTGACATTTTAATTCATTCCATTAAAAAATGTTTAACTTGGATATGTCAGGGCTTTAAAACTAACTTCCAATTTATAGGAAATACAGAGAATAGAACACTCCACAAAGAAACAACCAGACAAACCCAGAAGGTGGAGCATACCATAGGATAACTGTCAGTGACATGAGAAAAAGTGGGGTGGGGAGGAAAACACTGCAAGATTAAAAGAAACTTAACGAGATGCCAATTAGGTGCAACGTGCGTTCCTGGATTAGACAAACAGCCATAAAGGGACATTTTAGGGACAACTATGGAAGATGGGGTAGGTTGCTACTTCACTGCCTTTGATATTTATTCTTACAGGATTCAAACTGTTAGGGCATAAATATTCTGATTGACACTTAAGAATGTGACTCATAAATTACATGCTATTCCTATATTTAATTTAAATATCAGAGTACTTCCTATGCGTAAAACAGAATACTGTATAACATTTAAAAATAAATAATCCACTAAATATGAAGTAGTTCCTTGTTGTTAGTCATGTCTATTAGTCCTTAAATATATCATGCAAAAAAATGTAAGCTACTTTTTCAGGAATGAAGCAAAACTTGCCTTTTGCCCTTAATGGCACTGTTGCAAGCATAGTAAGTAGCATATACATATAAAATATGAAGGAAATAAACCCATTAGAAGCATGCCCTTGCTTTCTGATTTTATATGCCAGCCTCTCCTTATTGCCATGACCACACCTTTTGGCTGCTACCAATCACGAAGTAACCAACTACCAGACAAGCACTCTCATTAAGGAAGTTTATGTCCATAGTTAATACTTTCTTGGTTTTTTTCTTTGGCTTGCTGGAGTCAGTCCTTAATTATGCAACTTCCTTAAACAAGGTATGTTTTTTCCCTATTAACAAGAACAGATGCCCAGATGTTTTGTTGCAAATATTTGTCTAGAATTGTCCTGTTTGGTACTTCTTGTTAGTGACTAGCCAATTAGCACCACTTAAAATTACCCAAATATTCAGAAAGACAGATAGTATTTTATGCCTAAAATCTGAAGGCTTCAACAAAACAGAACTTGAGCCTTTTTTTTTCTCAACAGGTCAGTAAGACCTATTTGTTTATGAGGACAAGAAAGATAAAGGAAGACATTCCCCGTCAAACACTTTTCAAATTAAGTCATTCAGCCAGTCATCTGAAAACTGGGAAAATCATATTACAGACTGCATTATTTTTGTATCTTAACAATGGTATAAGTTAAGTTAATTTTTAAAAAAACTTACATACAGGTCAATAAGTATAACATCTAGTATAATACGACCATAAATACTTGGTGGAAATGACTTTGGATCATTACTTTGGAACGGGGTAGGATTTATTTCTTTTGTAGGGTTGGGAGGGTACATATAAGTCACTACTTCATGAAAATTCTGGGTCTTGGGTTTTAGTTTGGGCATTTAATCATATAACTAGATTCACTGAATCTGCTATTACTGATTGTTTGAACTCCAAAGTTGTGGACAAGCCAATAAGAGGTAATAATACACATCAAAAAGCAGAAAACGACTCTTTCTCTCACGGCTTTCATTGTTAGCTCTTTGACCTCAATCTGCAGTCAAGTACTCAAGTTTGTTATGAAAGACTCCCCAGATCCCAGAAAAAGTTGGTTACATTACCTAAGCTTTAAATATTTGAGACAACTGGTCAGGATAATAGCTGGTAAATACATCCAAATAAGTATGAATAGAATTAGTCTTCTGGTCAACCCCTAAAATATTGAATCTGTGCAGTGAAATCCAACATATTCTTCACAACTTTCCAATATTGCTCTTTATGGATGCACTTACACATTCCATATATACTTTTTTAAACCAACCTGCAGGGCCTCTACATCCTGAAGCCAGTCTCTGGCTCTCTGCACTGAGTCTTTCAGAGCTGCACCATTGGGCAGATAGGCGGGGATCTCCTCAATCTCCTTTACTGCCGTAGCAAGGCTATTCAATGAATGCCGTGGCCTACAAAATGCAAACACAGCCTTCTAAGCATTTTATATGATGGTTCATTTTTCTTATGGTTACCAAAAAGATAGCATGTCAAAGAAAATTCAGTATGGCAAATAAATTTTTTCAAATGACATTGTCTGTTCTTGTTGAAAATTATCTGCACTGTTTTCTTACAGAACAGTTCCTATTAACTCTCAGACATTTCTCTTTAAGACTCTTTGGAACCATATACGCTGTGAGTTTAAAAAGCTTCACATATTTGTAAATATTTTCCTCTCCCAAAGACAGGATTTTAACAGGATCCAGGGAAATTTCATTAAACCAACTCTAGAAAAGGTGTGTCCAATTGAATTATTCATTTTCTAATCAGTAAAATTAAAAAAAAAAAAATTAACATTATTTTATTCAGGTCCCAAAGCAGCTCCAAGTATCTCATCTATTTCTACGTATCTTCCGCATGCATAGTAACTACAGCTACCGAGCACTTGCCATATACCAATCACTGTGCTCTATGCTTTTAAGGTGGAGATAACTGTCCAACCTTCCCAAAGAAGGAGAAATGTTTGCTTTTTTACCTGGCCTTGAGGAGACCCTTGGCTTTGTCATCCCAGTGCTCTGACACTGTGAGCAGTTCCTGCAGCCGGGCCATAGCCTTCTCCACTGCTGAATATGGGGCCAGCCCTACCCCTAGGTCTATGAGACGTCTCATATCATCTAAAGTAAGGGAGCTGGGGTCAAGGCAAGCTTGCTGCACCTCTTCCAGCCAACGGGCCTGTTCCAAACGGATACGCATCTCAGCAAGCTGTGGAAGTTCAACATCAAATTCAAAGCTGACATCTAGCAAGTCCTGCAGCTCCGCAGCACTAGGCATTTCCTCAGAGAGTAGTTTCTGACTATGCTGTTGAAAATCTTCTACACGATTCAAGAGATCCTAAAAAAACATACAGGTTGTTGCATCAAAACAGTAATCTCAGTAATTGGCTTCTTTAAAACTTAGAATCTTAAACTCATATTCAATGAGATCCTTTACCATCCCATTTAATTCTAATACATAAGCCAACTGACAGCAAACACTAAGTGACTATAACAGAGAGCTTATCCCAACTTGAACTAGCTGAGGTCACTTTCAAAGTAAAAATTTCCAACATCCTGGCCGGGCACGGTGGCTCACGCCTGTAATCCCAGCACTTTGGGAGGCCGAGGCGGGTGGATCACCAGGTCAAGAGATCGAGACCATCCTGGTCAACATGGTGAAACCCCGTCTCTACTAAAAATACAAAAAATCAGCTGGGCATGGTGGTACATGCCTGTAATCCCAGCTACTCAGGAGGCTGAGGCAGGAGAATTGCCTGAACCCAGGAGGCGGAGTTTGCAGTGAGCCGAGATCGCGCGATTGCACTCCAGCCTGGGTAACAAGAGCGAAACTCCGTCTCAAAAAAAAAAAAAATTTCCAACTTTATTTCCCCTCTGTGGGCCTACTATAATCTCTTTCTATACACATACCACTCAATGTGTTATTAAAAGCATCTGCAGATAAATGTACATAGTAATCATCAAAGGAGATTACTTAGTAGTGTCAATCAAGTTTATATACAAAATACAGGATTTCCCAAGTATTCTCCCACACATCCCTCTATGGTTACCTTTAGCAATGGTGTTTGACTGAGGACACATGGAAGAGCATACAACTGTGTTACAAACTGCCGAAGCTCATTCACTGTCAACTGAGTTTGGGATTTCCCTCCACCAGATCGATATCTATAAAGACAAAGGCCCAAGAAAGCCATATAAGAGCATATATATGTCCACCACACCCAGGTGGTCACAGAAATTCAAGACAGAAGGAGTCACAACAGGTTTCCAAACCTAGGTGCCAAGGAATCCAAACTCATGCAGTCAGAAGCACATACCTAGTTTGCCTTTTGCCATTAAGCAATTGCTGTGCAACAGAGGCACACTTCTCTGCATCCTGTGTGACTAAGCGAAGGTGTCGCAAAAGATCATTGTCTGGGAATTTCTTCATTTCAGATTCTTCAATTAAAGCCTTGAAGCTGACAAGGCCTAGGAATAAAGAAAAAAGTCATCTTTTCTGTAATCATTACGATCATTACTACTGGTATGAAATTCAGAGGAGACTGCTTTTGCCAGTTCTGGTCTAGAAATGTAACTTACACATTCTTGCAATGTTTTAAATTATTAATAAATTTGTTGATTTGATTTTTGCGGGGTTGGGGCTGAGCATGGAGATTTTTTTTTTTTTTTTTTTTTTGAGATGGAGTCTCACACTGTCACCTGGGCGCTACCTCAGCTCACTGCAACCTCCATCTCCTGGGTTCAAACAATTCTCCTGCCTCAGCCTCCAGAGTAGCCAGGACTACAGGCATCTGCCACCAGGCCCAGCCAATTTTCTTTTTGTATTTTTAGTAGAGAAAGGTTTCACTATGTTGGCCAGGCTGGTTTCAAACCCCTGACCTCGTAATCCACCTGCCTCGGCCTCCCAAAGTGCTGGGGTTACAGGCATGAGCCACCAAGCCCAGCTGAGCATGGAGTTCTTTAAATGAGTACCTAAAGTTGAACTTAAATATGGAAACATTAAGATCTCACATGTTTTTAGGCTGGGTACAGTGGCTCATGCCTATGTACCCAGTCAGCACAGCAAGATCCCATCTCTACAAAATTAAAGACCTTAGCCAGGCGTGATGGCACACAACTGTAGTCCCAATTATTGGAAAGTCTAAAACAGAGGATCACTTAAACCCAGGAGTTCGGCCAGGCGCGGTGGCTCAAGCCTGTAATCCCAGCACTTTGGGAGGCCGAGGCGGGTGGATCACGAGGTTGAGAGATCGAGACCATCCTGGTCAACATGGTGAAACCCCGTCTCTACTAAAAATACAAAAAATTAGCTGGGCATGGTGGCGCGTGCCTGTAATCCCAGCTACTCAGGAGGCTGAGGCAGGAGAATTGCCTGAACCCAGGAGGCGGAGGTTGCAGTGAGCCGAGATGGCGCCATTGCACTCCAGCCTGGGTAACGAGAGCGAAACTCCATCTCAAAAAAAAAAAAACCCCAGGAGTTCAAGGATGTAGTGAGCCATGATCATGCCATCGAACTCCAGTCAAGGTCACAGAGCAAGACCCTGTCTTAAAAAAAAAAGAAAGAAAAGCAAATATAAATCTTACTGTGGCTTGAACCACTTCTTCGTCCTGCACTTTATTCTGCAGTTAGTGAGTAACTAGTGTGCTCAGTTACTAGAGCACACTAGACTCATAGACACATACAGGGGAAAAACAGACAGTAGGGCCTATTGGAGGGTGGGCAGGAGGAAGGAAGAGGATCCAGAAAAATAAATAATGGGTACTAAGCTTAATATCTGGGTGATGAAATAATGTGTACAACAAAACACCCATGACACAAGTTTCCCTATGTAACAAATCTGCTCACGTACCCCTGAACTTAAAATAAACAAAAAACAAAAAACAACTCTATTTTTATAAGAGATAAAGAGAGATAAAAAGGATAGCAGTGACTTTCAAAGGTATTGACAAGTACCAGGGACCTTAACCTTAATTAGAACTAAGTAGTAATAAACCATCATTTCAGACTCCGATTTAGTGTCACGCTGCCTATGTCACAGATGTTTTGTCTTGTTTTTTTAAAAAGAAGCTTTCAAATGCTTTGTATGAAATGTGAAATTTCTTTTTCTGAGACAAAAATAAAGGTTTCCTAACACTACTATTTTTGTTAAATAAGCAATGTTGCACAACTCATATACCAAAATTTCACTGTGATGCAAGGGCATCTATCTGCCTTATCCACTGATGATTTTAAACTTTCTCTGCTAGTGCTCTGTAAACCTGGCTGTATAGAGGGGCTAAGGACGAGGTCAGGCTGTTTAAAGCAATGTTTTGTTGACTTTAATTTGACTGCATCACAATAAGCCCCAATTTGCCAATCACCAAGTCACTTTCTGCTTCACATACTTTTCTTCTTGTTGATCTTTGCCTCCAAAGCGTCATTCACATTCAAGGCCCATTCGTTGTAAGATTCTGCTCGAAGTTTCAATGCATTCATCATAGGGTAGAGATCATCCAGTGTGTATCTATACCTGGAAATAATACCACCAGACTTAGCTTTGACATGTGTAGCTTTGGAAAAAAACTAGATGTTTTAGACTTAACATTTCAGCCTTAGAACTAGGTGTCATTGAGCATTTTAGTAAGGATCAACTGTTTTCCATAGGGGCAAAAAAAATCATTCTTACTTACCGCAATTTATATTTATAAGGAGGACAGGAACACAATTCTTTTACATGATGCAGGCAAACAAGCAGGCCAGGTTTACAAGAACAGGAGATGGCAGACATGAAGCATGTAGTTTTGCATTTTACACACTGACGTTCATCATCTGGCAATAGCTCAAAATCCATTCTTTCTGAATCAATCACGCCCTAAAACAAAGTGTACTTTAGAGACCTCCAAAGGGTAATATAATCCACCAGCCCAAGATGAGCATGCAGTAGTACTTGAGTTTCAAAAAAAAAACTTACCAAAATACGGATGCATCATTTAAAATGTGTGGCATACAAGGTAACAAATGACCTAGGAAATATAGGCAATTTCATTTGTCTAGGGAGATCTCCTTTTTACACAAGGCAGGTCCTTAGGTTTGGCCATTTTGATCTCAGTATGAACATCACAGGACTCTAAAACTACTGAGGTTAGCAGTCTACTCTACTCCAAACTAGCCTTGTCCACATTTTGGTATAAATAAGAGCAAAAGAAAGGAATATGCTTCCTACTTCTGAGGAAATACAGAGAATCTATTAAAAGGACAAAAATGAAACGGAAGACGATGGGACAAGTGGAAAAGACTCATGCAGAAATTGCTGAGTTTGGAAAGATGCTGAGTGGTCTCAGCTTTTTACAGGAAGTTATCTAAAAGGATGTCATTACCTGAATAGTTAGAAAATTTGTGCAATAGAAAGAAAGACTAAAGTCATAATAAAACATTTCCTAACTAAAAGACTGTCAGGAAAAATAAGGTCTTGAACCAGTAAATTTCAACATCATCTGTACCACCATACATCTAGGAAACCCTACTTGGATATACCTTTTGTCATTCAAAGACCAAACTTCTATCACCTTTTTTCCTTATCTAAAACTGGATCCTAATCCAACTTTGAGAATGCCAGTCAGTTTATGAACCACTGGGCTTGTTTTATTCTCTTATCCTGTATTTTAACATTTTAACTATTTCCATTGGTCCATTATATGGACCAACAAAGATGAGGAAGGTAAGGAAATTGCTAATTAGTAGATTCTGGTTTTATTCTGGAATTGGTCATTAAAAAGGACTTCATGGATGGAGAGATTTAAATTTTTGTTTAAAATAAGATTAAGGACCAACTCTATGGATTTGACAATGAATCATGTACTTCATACCCAATTTTAATTTGTAAATTTCATATCTGGAAAAAAAATTTAGTCACAGAGTTCTAAAAATGATCTACTATTTTTGATGTAAGACTTCGGTAAGTCACATAAATCCTCTGGGCACTATTTTCCCCAACTGTAAAATATAAGAGGGGAAGGTAGATGACCTGCTGTTAAACTATAATGGGCTGCAGAGAGCCAATATTCTAGGATTCTGCCCCCAAAGAGGCACATTTAAAAAAAAAAAAATTAGTACGACTATTTGCAGATACTGTTATTCCAAAAGAATCCATGAAAAGGCTAGCGGAAATTAAGTATTTTCTAGCAAGGTCTCAGGAGACAAGGTCAATATACAAGTCAATTGTCTCTTTAAATACTAGCAATAAACAATTGGAAATTCAAAGTTTTAAAAGTACAATTTATAACAGTGCCAAAAACCATGCAATATAAAATTATACTACGTTTAAGAACTGGAAGACTCAAATTTTTTTTTTTTTTTTTTTGAGATAGAGTCTAGCTCTGTCACCCAGGCTAGAGTGCAACGGCATGATCTCGGCTCACTGTAGCCTCCGCATCCTAGGTTCAAGGGATTCTCCTGCCTCAGCCTCCCAAGTAGCTGGGATTATGGGCACGTGCTGCCACACCTAGCTAATTTTTGTATTTTTAGTAGAGACAGCGTTTCACCAGGTTGGTTAGGATGGTCTCAATCTCTTGACCTCGTGATCTGCCCACCTTGGCCCCCCAAAGTGCTGGGATTATAGGCGTGAGCCACTTCGCCCAGCCGACTCAATATTAAATATCAATCATCCCCCAGACCATAATGCAGTCTCAATCAAAACCCCAACAGGAACTGATTTGGTAGAAATCAATAAGCTGATTCTAAAATTTACATGAAAAAGTAAAAGAGACAAAACAATTTTGAAAAAGAACAAAGTTGGAAGACTCATACTACCTAATTTCAAGACTTCTTAAAAAGCTACAGCAATCAAAAACATTTGGTATTAGCAAGATAATTAGATGCACAGATCAACGGAATACAACAGAGTCCAGAAATAGACCATACATATGGGGTGAATTGATTTTCAACAAAGGTGCCAAAGCAATTTAATGAAGAAAAGACAGTTTTCTGAAGAAAAAACTGGAAGAACTAGATATCCACATGCAAAAAAAATTAACCTTGACTCATACTTTGAAAAACAAAAATTACTTGAAATAGTTGAAAGACTTAAATATAAAATGTGGAACTAAGAAATTCTAGATGACTTTGTAGGAGAAAATCTTTGTAACTTTGGATTAAGCAAGATTTCTTAAATAGGAAACCAAAAAAACATGATTCACACAAGAAAATAATTAACAAGGAAGGGCACGGTGGCTCAAGCCTGTAATCCCAGCACTTTGGGAGGCTGAGGCGGGTGGATCACCAGGTCAAGAGATCGAGACCATCCTGGTCAACATGGTGAAACCCCATCTCCACTAAAAATACAAAAAATTAGCTGAGCATGGTGGCGCGTGCCTGTAATCCCAGCTACTCAGGAGGCTGAGGCAGGAGAATTGCCTGAACCCAGGAGGCGGAGGTTGCAGTGAGCCGAGATCGTGCCATTGCACTCCAGCCTGCATAACAAAAGTGAAACGCTGTCTCAAAAAAAAACAAAACAAAAAAACAAAAAGAAAATAATTAACAAACTGGACTTCATCAAAATAAAAAACTTCTGCTTGCTGAAAGACACTGGTAGGAGAATCAAAGACAAGCCACAAACTGGGAGAAAATAAAACCCCTATCTGATTAAAAAACAAACTGGTAGGGCCGGGCGTGGTGGTTCAAGCCTGTAATCCCAGCATTTTGGGAGGCCGAGGCGGGTGGATCACGAGGTCAAGAGATCGAGACCATCCTGGTCAACACAGTGAAACCCCATCTCTACTAAAAATACAAAAAATTAGCCGGGCATGGTGGCGCGTGCCTGTAATCCCAGCTACTCAGGAGGCTGAGGCAGGAGAATTGCCTGAACCCAGGAGGTGGAGGTTGCGGTGAGCCAAGATCACGCCATTGCACTCCAGCCTGGGTAACAAGAGTGAAACTCCACCTCAAAAAAAAAAAAAAAACAAAAAAAAAAACTGGTATCCAGAATACATACAGAATTATTAAAACAATTCAACTTTTTAAAAAATAAAGGGCAAGCCAGGTGTTATGGCTCACGCCTGTAATCTCAGCACAATGGGATGAGTAGCTTGAACCCAGGAGTTTGAGACTAGCCTGGGCAACACAGTCAGAACCTGTCTCTACAAAACATTTTTTTTAAAAGGGCAAAACATTTAACAGCTACTTCAAAGAGACAGACGACAGGTGGCAAATAAGACAGTGAATAAAAATTAAAGCCACGAAATGCTACTATACATCTATTAAAACGGCCTAAAAAAAAGTAGGCTTTAACAAGACTGCTTAAAATGATATTAAAGTGTGTAAGAATTTTACTAACACCTAATGACAACATGCAGTTGGATTTTCATAAGCCTTACCAATTTACGGACAGTTTCCCTTAAAGCTTTCTCATCCTCAATCATAATGGCCATGTCTTTTTGAACAGTTGAAGCCACTACAACATCTAGTACATCAGCCTTGGAAGCCATCTTGCAGATCATCTCATCGTGGGAAAACACACAATATCGATGAAGCAAGCGATAATGCTCCACACACTGTCGGCCTAACGGCAGCTGTATCAAAAGATAGAAATAAACATATAACATTCTTCTTTCTTATATTTCCAAACACTTCTGACCCATACTATCAAATTACCAAACACACTGTGGGTCATAACACACATCATTTACCAACCCTAAAACCAGACTCTGTGCCAGGCAGGTGGCTCACACCTGTAATTCCAACACTTTGGGAGGTCCAGCCTTGCCTGAGTCTAGGAATTGGAGACCAGCCTGCAGTATGGTAAAATCCCATCTCTACAAAAAAATTTAAAAATTAGTCAGGTGTGGTGGTGCACATCCGTAGTCCCAGCTACTCAGGAGGCTGATGTGGAAGGACTGCTTGAGCCTGGGAGGTCAAGGTTGCAAGGTCAACAACTGCACTACTGCACTCCAGCCTGGGTAACAGAGTGAGACTCTGTCTCAAAAAATTAAACAAAAATAAAAAATAAACAAACAAAATTCCAGACTATTAGGATTCTTAGCCTATGACCTAGGACTTAATTATCTTTGCAACCCAAAGATCTGGCATGTTACATATCTTAATTAAGAAGTGTTTTTTTGTTTTGTTTTGTTTTGTTTTTTAAAGATGGGGTTTCACCATGATGGCCAGGCTGTTCTTGAACTCCTGACCTCAGGTGATCCACCCACCTCGGCCTCCCAAAGTGCTAGCATTACAGGTGTGAGCCACTGCACCCAGCCAAAAAGTGTTTTTTTTTTTTTTTTTTTTTTTTAAAGGCCCAATATATTAACAATGTATTAATATCTACAACAATGCAGAATCTAATTAGAAGTATGAACTTATATATTTTCTGAAATAATTGTGCTGAACTGGTATGATCAACCTACTTCAGGGAATAATACTCCAAAAACTACATAATGGGAAATAAATATAGATATAGCAATTATCATTGCAACAAAATTATTATTGATCAGATTTAATACCACTTAACCTAGATCTTTTTAGGTAAACGAAAAGTATTAATACAATTATAAAAAACTTTACAGCTAACTGAAATGTGTCCTTAAATTGCTGTACTGTAGACAATTTAAGCTGGTACTATACAAAGTATAGACTTTTCCTGGAATTATTTATCAGTTTGCAATGAGATGCTGAGCCCCAGCCAGAATGTAAATCAACAGTCCTTTCTTCATCAAGAAAGTGTTGCTACAAAGGAAGAAACGTCAGCTGAACTAAGCAGTACGCTTAGGTAATTCATGGTTGAGTTACACTGTGGTACAAGTGCTTTATCCCTCTGTGGACTGGTAAACAATTTGCAGACTGACCAGTTGAGCAGAAATGAATGGGTCAAGGCAACTATCCATTTGACATTTATTTATTTTTTTAGACAAAGTCTCACTCTGTTACCCAGGCTGGAGTGCAATGGCACGACCTTGGCTTACTGCAACCTCCACCTCCTGGGTTTAAGCAATTCTCCCGCCTCAGTGTCCCAAGTATAGTTGGGATTACAGGCACCCATCACCATGGCTGACTAATTTTTGTATTTTTAGTAGAGACAAGGTTTCACCATGCTGTCCAAGCTGGTCTCGAACTCCTGACTTCAGGTGATCCACCTGCCCCAGCCTCCCAAAGTGCTGGGATTACACATGTGAGCCACTGCGCCCAGCCCACATGACATTTTAAAACATTATATTCCATTTCCTCAAGAAAAACAATAAATTTGAAAAGGCTCACTAAATTGTAATTACATACCCAATCAACCGTGCAGAAATTAACAGCCTCAGCGAAATTAAAACCCTGGTTAAAACCACTGTGGTAGGCTCTTGGAAATGTAATCACAAACTCTCCAGCACACTGATTAGTTCGGTAAACCTAAAGAGACAGAAATTGAAGATTTTTTGAATTTCTCAAAGAGTGACATTGTTACTAAAGACAATCTGGACATAGACTATTAGATAATTTTCCCAAAAAGGCGGCTTTCTGAAATTGAGCCACAAAAAAACGAATTACTGTAGAATATCACCTAGAGACGAGACACTAATGTCTGTCACAAGATGGAACAGTATCCCAGACTATTAAAGTTAATTAGTATCTGAACACAAAACAAAAATTTGGCCATATGAAGGTACAAGGTACAACTTTTATTTTTATTAATACATATTTTAATGCAACTAAAGTTTTGGGGTACATGTGAAGAACATGCAAGATTGTTGCATAGGTACATACCTGGCAGTGTGGTTTGCTGCCTTCCTCCCCGTCACCTACAGCTGGCATTTCTCCCCATGTTATCCCTCCCCAACTCCCTACCCCGCACTGTCCCTCCCCTAGTTCCCCCCGGCAGACCCCAGTGTGTGATGCTCCTCTCCCTGTGTCCATGTGTTCTCATTATTCAACACCCGCCTATAAGTGAGAACATGGGGCGTTTGATTTTCTATTCTTGTGGCAGTTTGCTGAGAATGGTGGTTTCCAGGTTCATCCATGTCCCTACAAAGGACATGAACTCATCGTTTTTTATGGCTGCATAGTATTCCATGGTGTATATGTGCCACACTTTCCCTGTCCAGTCTATCATCGATGAGCATTTGGGTTGGTTCCAAGTCTTTGCTATTATAAACAGTGCTGCAATGAACATATGTGTGCATGTGTCCTTATAACAGAATGATTTATAATCCTTTGGATATATACCCAGTAATGGAATTGCTGGGTCAAATGGAATTTCTATTTCTAGGTCCTTGAGGAATCGCCACACTGTCTTCCACAATGATTGAGAACTAATTTACACTCCCACCAACAGTGTAAAAGTGTTCCTATTTCCCCACATCCTCTCCAGCATCTGTTGTCTCCAGGGTTTTTAATGATCGTCATTCTAACTGGCATGAGATGGTATCTCAATGTAGTTTTGATTTGCATTTCTCTAATGACCAGTGATGATGAGCAGTTTTTCATATGTTTCTTGGCCTCATACGTGTCTTCTTTTGTAAAGTGTCTGTTCATATCCTTTGCCCACTTTTAAATGAGCTTGTTTTATTCTTGTAAATCTGTTTTAGTTCTTTGTAGATTCTGGATATTAGCCCTTTGTCAGATGTGTATAGATTGCAAAAAATTTTTCCCATTCTTTTGGTTGCCAATTCACTCTAATGACTGTTTCTTTTGCTGTGTAGAAGCTCTGGAGTTTGATTAGGTCCCATTTGTCTATTTTGGCTTTTGTTGCCAATGCTTTTGGTGTTTTAGTCATGAAGTCCTTGCCTATGCCTATGTCCTTAATGGTTTTGCCTAGGTTTTATTCTAGGGTTTTTATGGTGTTAGGTCTTCAATCCACCTGGAGTTAATTTTAGTGTAAGGTGTCAGGGAGGGGTCCAGTTTCTGCTTTCTGCACATGGCTAGCCAGTTTTCCCCAACACCATTTATTAAAAAGGGAATCCTTTCCCCATTGCTTGTTTTTGTCAGGTTCGTCAAAGATCCGATGGTTGTAGATGTGTGGCGTTGCCTCCGAGGCCTCTGTTCTGTTCCATTGGTCTATATCTCTGTTTTGGTACCAGTACCATGCTGTTTTGATTACTGTAGCCTTGCAGTATAGTTTGAAGTCAGGTAGTGTGAGGCCTCCAGCTTTGTTCTTTTTGCTTAGAATTTACTTGGCTATGCGGACTCTCTTTTGGTTCCACATGAGATTTAAGGTGGTTTTTTCCAGTTCTGCGAAGAAGGTCATTGGTAGCTTGACGGGCATAGTGTTGAATTCATAAATTACTTAGGGCAGTATGGCCATTTTCACAATATTGATTCTTCCTAACCATGAGCATGGAATGTTTCTCCATCTGTTTGTGTCCTCTCTTATTTCATTGAGCAGTGGTTTGTAGTTCTCCTTGAAGAGGTCCTTTACATCCTTTGTTAGTTGTATTCCTACGTACTTTATTCCCTTTGTAGCAATTGTGAATAGCAATTCGTTTCTTTTTTTAAAAGACAGGGTTTCACCACATTGGCCAGGCTGGTCTTGAACTCCTGACCTCAGGTGATCCGCCTGCCTCAGCCTCCCAAAGTGCTGAGATTACAGGTGTGAGCCACCATGCCTGGCCTAGCAGTTTGTTCTTGATTTGGCTCTCTTTAAGTCTGTTATTGGTGTATAGGAATGCTTGTGACTTTTGCACATTGATTTTTGTATCCTGAGACTTTGCTGACGTTGCTTATCAGTTTCGGGAGATTTTGGGCTGAGACGATGTGGTCTTCTAAACACAATCATGTCATCTACAAATAGAGACAATTTGACTTCCTCCTTTCCTAACTGAATACCCTTTATTTCTTTTTCTTGCCTGGTTGCTCTGGCTAGAACTTCCAATACTATATTGAATAGGAGTGGTGAGAGGGCATCCTTGTCTAGTGCCCCATTTCAAAGAGAATGCTTCAAGTTTTTGCCCATTCAGTATGATATTAGCTGTGGGTTTGTTGTAAACAGTTATTATTTTGAGATACATTCTGTCAATACCTAGTTTATTAAGAGTTTTTAGCATAAAGGGCTGTTGAATTTTGTCAAAGGCCTTCTCTGCATTGAGATAATCGTGGTTTTTGTCTTTGGTTCTGTTTACGTGGTGAATTATGGTTATAGACGTGTGTATGTTGAACCAGCCTTGCATCCTGGGATGAAGCCTACTTGGTCATGGTGGATAAGCTTTTTGATGTGCTGTTGCAATTGGTTTGCCAGTATTTCATTGAATATTTTTGCATCTATGTTCATAATGGATATTGGCCTGAAGTTTTTTTTTTCTTGCTGAGTCTCTGCCAGGTTTTGGTATCAGGATGATGATGGTCTCATAAAATGAGTTGGGAAGGATTCCCTCTTTTTGGATTGTTTGGAATAGTTTCAGAAGGAATGGTACCAGCTCCTCTTTGTATGTATGGTAGAATTTGGCTCTGAATCCATCTGGACCTAGGCTTTTTTTGGTTGGTAGGCTGTTAATTGTGGTCTCAACTTCAGCCCTTGTTATTGGTCTATTCAGGGTTTCGACTTCTTCCTGGTTTAGGCTTGGGAGGATGCAAGTGTCCAGGAATTTATCCATTTCTTCCAGGTTTACTAGTTTATGTACATAGAGCTGTTTGTAATAATCTCTGATGATGGTTTGAATTTCTGTGCAATCTGTGGTGATATCCCCTTTATTGTTTTTTATTGCATTTATTCGATTATTCTTTTCTCTTTTATTAATCTGGCTAGTAGTCTATTTTATTGATCTTTTCAAGAAACCAGCTCCTGGATTTATTGATTTTGTTGAAGAGCTTTTTGTGTCTCTATCTCTTTCAGTTCTGCTCTGATCTTAGTTATTTCTTGTCTTCTGCTAGGTTTTGAGTTTTTTTGATCTTGCTCCTCTACCCCTTTCAATTTTTACGATAGGGTGTCAATTTTAGATCTTTCCTTGCTTCTCATGTGGGCATTTATTGCTATATATTTTCCTCTAGACACTGCTTTAAATGTGTCCCAGAGATTCTGGTATGTTGTGTCTTCGTTCTCACTGGTTTAGAAGAACATCTTTATTTCTGCCTTCATTTCATTGTTTATCCAGTCAACATTCAACAGCCAGTTGTTCAGTTTCCATGAAGCTGTGCGGTTCTGAGTTAAGTTTCTGAATTCTGAGTTCTACCTTGATTGCACTGTGGTCTGAGAGACTATTTGTTATGATTTCTGTTCTTTTGCATTTGCTGAGGAGTGGTTTACTTCCAATTATGTGGTCAATCTTAGAGTAGGTGTGATGTAGTGCTTAGAATAATGTATATTCTGTGGATTTGGGGTGGAGAGTTCTGTAAATGTCCATTAGGTTTGCTTGGTCTAGGTCTGAGTTCAAGTCCTGGATATCTTTGTTAATTTTCTGTCTCATTGATCTGTCTAATACTGACAGTGGAGTGTTATAGTCTCCCACTATTATTGTGTGTAAGAGTCTAAGTGTCTTTGTAAGTCATTAAGAACTTGCTTTATGTATCTGGGTGCTCCTGTATTGGGTGCGTATATATTTAGGATCGTTAGCTCTTCTTGTTGCATTGATCCTTTTACCATTATATAATGGCCTTCTTTGTCTCTTTTGATCTTTGTTGGTGTAAAGTCTATTTTATCAGAGACTAGGATTTCAACTTCTGCTTTTTTTTTACTCTCCATTTGCTTGGTAAATCTTTCTCCAACCCTTTATTTTGAGCCTATGTGTATCCTTGCATGTGAGATGGGTTTCCTGGATACAGCACACGGATAGGTTTTGGCTTTTTATCCAATTTGCCAGTCTGTGTCTTTTTGACTGGGGCCTTTAGCACATTTATTTACATTTAGGGTTAATACTGTTATGTGTGAATTTGATACTGCCATTTTGATGCTAGCTGGTTCTTTTGCCCATTAGTTGATGCAGTTTCTTCATTGTGTTTATGCTCTTTACTATTTGTTATGTTTTTGGAGTGGCTGGTACTGGTTGTTCCTTTCTATGTTTAGTGCTTCTTTCAGAAGCTCTTGTAAAGCAGGCCTGCTGGTGATTAAATCTCTGAGTAATTGCTTGTTCGTAAAGAATTTTATTTCTCCTTCGCTTATGAAACTTAAGTTTGGCTGGATATGAAATTCTAGGTTGAAAGTTCTTTTCTTTAAAGATGCTGAATATTGGCCCCCACTCTCTTCTATCTTGTAGGGTTTCTGCTGGGAGATCTGCTGTGAGTCTGGTGGGCTTCCCTTTCTTTCTCTCTGGCTGCCCTTAGCATTTTCTCCTTCATTTCAACCCTGGTGAATCTGACGATTATGTGCCTTGGGGTTGCTCTTCTTGAGGAATATCTTTGTGGTGTTCTCTGTATTTCCTGAACTTGAATATTGGCCTTCCTTGACAGGCTGGGGAAGTTTTCCTGGATAATATCCTGAAGAGTATTTTCCAGCTTGGATTCATTCTCTCCGTCATATTCAGGTACACCTATCAAACGTAGATTAGGTCTTTTCACATAGTCCCATATTTCTTGGAGGCTTTGTTCATTTCTTTTGACTCTTATCTTGCCTTCTTGTTTTGTTTCATTGAGTTGATCTTCGACCTCTGATATCCTTTCTTCTGCTTGGTCAATTCGGCTGTTGAAACTTGTGTATGTTTTGTGAAGTTCTTGTGTTGTGTTTTTCAGCTCCATCTATTCATTTATATTCCTCTCTAAGCTGTTTATTCTCGTTAGCATTTTGTCAGACCTTTTTTCAAGGTTCTTAGTATCTTTGCACTGGGTTAGAACATGTTCTTTTAGCTCAGAAGTTTCTTTTCTTTTCTTTTTTTTTTTTTTGAGACGGAGTTTCGCTCTTGTTATCCAGGCTGGAGTGCAATGGCGCGATCTCGGCTCACCGCAACCTCCACCTCCTGGGTTCAGGCAATTCTCCTGCCTCAGCCTCCTGAGTAGCTGGGATTACAGGCATGCGCCACCATGCCCAGCTAATTTTTTGTATTTTTGGTAGAGATGGGGTTTCACCATGTTGACCAGAATGGTCTCGATCTCTTGACCTCGTGATCCACCCGCCTCGGTCACCCAAAGTGCTGGGATTACAGGCGTGAGCCACTGCGCCTGGCCCAGAAGTTTCTTATTACCCATCTTCTGAAGTCTGTTTCTGTCAATTCATCAGATTCATTCTCCATCCAGGCTTGTTCCCTTGCTGGTGAGGCATTCTGGTTTACGGTGTTTTCAACCTTTTTGTGCTGGTTTCTTCCCATCTTTGTGAATTTATTTACCTGTGGTTTTTGTAGTTGGTGACTTTCAGATGGGGTCTCTAAGTGGTCGTCCAATTTGTTGATGATGAAGTTATTTCTTTCTGTTTCTTAGTTTTCCAACAGTCAGGCCCCTCTGCTGTAGGACTGCTGGAGGTCTACTCCAGGCCCTGCTTGCCTAGGGATCACCTGCAGTGGCCTCTGCACTCTCACTGGGAGCTGGAATCCAGAGCTGCTCCTAATCAGCCATCAGGTACAACTTTTAAATACAGCTATAATTAAGAATATCCTAATATGGCCGGGCGCGGTGGCTCACGCCTGTAATCCCAGCACTTTGGGAGGCCGAGGCGGGCGGATCACAAGGCCAAGAGATCGAGACCATCCTGGTCAACATGGTGAAACCCCGTCTCTACTAAAAATACAGAAAATTAGCTGGGCATGGTGGCATGTGCCTGTAATCCCAGCTACTCAGGAGGCTGAGGCAGGAGAATTGCCTGAACCCAGGAGGTGGAGGTTGTGGTGAGCCAAGATCGTGCCATTGCACTCCAGCCTGGGTAACCAAGAGCGAAACTCCGTCTCAAAAAAAAAAAAAAAAAAAAACCTAACATATTATTACTCCCCAAATAGTACTTTTTACCACCAATTAAAGAAATACCACTCTATTTCAAGAATCTCATAACATACAGAACTCTTCCTCATTTTGGACCTCAAACTTAGCTCCAATCATTCCCTTCTTCCTACCACCTCCATCACGCCAAAAGTACCTATATTGCTCTAGGCACACAAACTGTTATACTGAGCTTATTATTATATAGTAATATTAGATTCCTTTTCAAGCCTCTATATCTCTACACTAATGCTTCCCCAGCGTATGGTCCCCTAGAACAAGAGCATCAACACCCACTAGGAACTTGCTGGAAATGTAAATTCTCAAGCCCCACTCAGACTAATAAAATAACAGCATCAGAAATTCTGGAGGTGGAGCCCAGCCATCTGTGTGGTAATACAGTCTTCAGGGTTCTGTCTAAAGACTACTACCCATCACAGGAACACCATCTCTTGTACCTGGAATACCTCCTCCTTCCCCAACTCTGCCAAACGTGATAATTTATCAGAGTTACAGCTCCTACTACAGATGTCATCTCATTTATAAGCCCTTTCTGATTCGCAGTAAAGTTATTAGATCAGTCTCATAGTTGGCACCACTGTCAAACCAAATGACCCTTCCATTATGTGTATAAACATTATCTTTTACCTTCAATTATGAATTCCTAAATGCACAAGGAGTTCATTCATCTATCTAAGGTATTCAGTACAGTAACATGCTGTACAGGTTTGTAGCCCAACAGCAAGAGGTTATACCATATAGCTTAGGTGTGTACGTAACTACATCTAGATCTGTGTAAGTACATAAAGTTCACATGACAATGAAATCACCTAACAATGCATTTCTGAGAACATATCCCTGTCATTAGGTGTCCCACAACTGTATAGTTGCCATTTCATTGATCAACCTCTAGACTTTTCAGTCTAGACTGGAACCCTAAAATACAAACTCAAGTCCTTGAAATAAATTTTCACTTACAAACGTACTAAAACCAGTGAATTGTAATTACTACTTGCAATGCCAGGCTGTTTGGCAATCTAGTTATTAGCTGCAACAAATTAGTGTTTATGGTATCTGAGGATCCAGTCCCACTGAGTAAATACATAGTACCACAACAAAACAGCCGTTTCTGCTATCAAGTTATGCTATGGAAACACAGAACCAAATCAACATCATAAAAAAGTGAATAAAAGGGAAAAAGAGAAGTGGTGAATTAAGCTTTAGTGGCAGGAGGATTAACCCAGAACATACAGGCACTTCATGAGTCATCAGGGTGTTGGGGTTCATAATGGTCACCAGCTGATGGAGGAGATCCGGCTGCGACACAAAGAGCTCTGGAGCTAGTTTCTTCATGACATTTTCTAGCTGCTCAGCAGCATACCCTGGGACTCCATACCAAGTTTTTGGCTCACCCCTGGAAACAGATTGTAAAAGTAAATCAATCTGCAATATCAACACAAACAAAATGGGTTATCAATTCATATTTTTCAGACTCTGCTTTGTAAGACTACACTACAAAAGAATGTGCAAACTGATGAAGTACCATTAGAAATATGATGTGAGCCAGCCATGGTGGCTCACGCCTGTAATCCCAGCCCTTTGGGAGGCTGAGGCTGGCATATCACGAGGTCAGCAAGTTTGAAACCAGCTTGGCCAACATAGCGAAACCCCATCACTACTAAAAATACAAAAATTATCCAGGCATGGTGGCAGGTGCCTGGAATTCCAGCTACTTGGGAGGCTGTGGCAGAAGATTCGCCTGAACCCAGGAAGCAGAGGTTGCAGTGAGCCGAGATCACACCATTGCATGCCATCCTAGGCAACAAGAGCAAGATTCCATCTCAAAAAAAATAAAAATAAATTTTAAAAATGTGATGGACATATGTAACGCATTTCCCGCTTCAGGTATGAATGAACAGCATCTGAGGTCCCTCTCCCCCTCCCATTTGTATCTGACTCTTTAGAAAATGCAGATATGCAGATATCTAGAATTTCTCCCCTCCGTTTTTTTGGAGACTGAGTGTTGCCCAGGCTGGAGGGCAATGGCGTGATCTTAGCTCACTGCAACCTCTGTCTCCCAGGTTCAAGCAATTCTCCTGCCTCGGGCTCCTGAGTAGCTGGGATTACAGGTGTACACCACGATACCTGGTTAATGTTTGTATTCTAGTAGAGATGGGGTTTCACCATGTTCACCAGGTTGGTCTCGAACTTCTGACCTTGTGATATGCCCGCTTCGGCCTCCCAAAGTGCTGGAATTACAGGCGTAAGCCACCATACCCAGCCGATATATAGAATTTATAAGAATATAAGGTGTATCATAGTCGCTTCAGGATATGTTGTTATCACAGTTTCCTAAAGCAATGGACAAGGGAAGGGAACTCACCAGTTTTCTTTTCCCTTGCCCATTCTGGCAGATGAGGTTAAATTAAACACTAATAAGAATGGCATTTAGCATTTCTAAATAATTCTTATTCTTCAAAGCACTTTAAATTATCAAACAATTTGTAACATCCCTTTGAGGTATGATAAATACAATCTTGATTACAGCTGGGAGCAATTGCCTAGAGAAGCAGAATTTTACATACATATATATATATATATATATATATATATGCGCCAATTCTCTATATTGTGGTACATCCTCAAATTCCTTGTGTGAGGATTTGAGTGAGTTACAGATCTTCAAGTATTTTTGTACTTAGAAAAAAGCAGAGGAGAAGAAAACAGATGTGGAGAAATGGCTTGAAGAGTTTAAAAAGTAAAGAAGCCTAAATTATCTGCAGATGCCTCTTGCCTTGCCCCCTCAATGCACACACAAAGATAAGGCTCACACTACTTTGTGCAGTGATACTTGAATCAGCACAACAAAAGAAAGACTGGTAGTCACACAGACTTAGAGGACACTGTGGTACCTACTATAGTGTACTTTACACTTCTCCTTAAGGGGTATCCGAGCTACCACTGCCACCAAATGAGATTTTCCATTGTAAAAGTAACTTTTTCTTAGAGTACGCTTTTTCTCTAAGTAAAGACTTACTTTTATGTGTTTGTTTTGAGGCAGAGTTTCACTCTGTTGCCCAGGCTGGAGTGCAATGGTGCAGTCTCTCAGCTCAGTGCAACCTGTGCCTTCCAGGTGTAAGCAGTTCTCCCTCAGCCTCCCAAGTAGCTGGAATTACAGGCGCCCACCACCACACCCAGCTAATTTTTATATTTTCAGGAGAGATGGGGTTTCACCACGGTGACCAGGCTGGTCTGGAACTCCTGACCTCAGGTGATCTGCCCACCTTGGCCTCCCAAAAGTGCTGGGATTACAGGCATGAGCCACCATGCCTGGCCTAAGTAAAGACTTCCTTACTTCAGATAAAAGCTACCTTTTCCCCCAGAAATACTTTGTTCTTGCAAAGTAGTGTGTGGTGTGTGTGTGTTTGTGTGTGTGTGTGTGTGTGTGTGTGTGTGTGTGTGTGTGTGTATGCGCGCAATTTCAGGGAATTCATGGATACTCTAGGAATCTTAAGAACCACTGTCTTGGCCGGGCACGATGGCTCATGCCTGTAATCCCAGCACTTTGGGAGGCCGAGGCGGGTGGATCACAAGGTCAAGAGATCGAGACCATCCTGGTCAACATGGTGAAACCCCGTCTCTACTAAAAATACAAAAAAAATAGCTGGGTATGGTGGCGCGTGCCTGTAATCCCAGCTACTCAGGAGGCTGAGGCAGGAGAATTGCCTGAACCCAGGAGGCGGAGGTTGCAGTGAGCCGAGATCACGCCATTGCACTCCACTCCAGCCTGGGTAACAAGAGGGAAACTCCGTCTCAAAAAAAAAAAAAAAAAAAAAAAAAAAGAACCACTGTCTTACTTGTCAGGAATGCCTGTTCTAACAGAAGTGAAAAATCTTAAGGAAAAAAGTAGCTCATTACTCTTTAGACACAGTTAAGACACACTGGCGCTGAAAAAGGAAAAAAGTAGCTCATTACTCTTTAGACACAGTTAAGACACATTGGCGCTGAAATGGAAAGTTTACCTATCCAGCTTGCATACTATTCATGGGGTTTTTTTTTTTTTTTTGGAACTTCTCACCAATGCAAGTAGTTAATTGAATAGCTCCAGTGGTCTTCAATATGCCAACAGAATGAAGAAAAGCACATTCCCACATACAACCAAGGAAGTTTCATGCCACATATATCAGCAGTAATATGTGCAAGGACAGACTGCTCCATCACTGGCATGTTGTTCAAATTCCAGCCACTATCAAGATACTCCTAAAAATAAGAAGACAAAAGAGAATAAAGGTTTAGCTATACGTTTCAAAAAGCCAGCTAAAAATATTTTCCCTCAGAATAAAAAAAGAAATGTGAAAGAGGAGGGGCCACCATACTGACCTTCTAGAATGCCCAAAGATTCGTTTTGTCCAGTTTTGAGCTTTGTATAAATGGACTCATACAGTATATCGTTTTGTATCTGTCTTTAAAAACATATGTAGAGGAACATAAGCCATGAGTCCACTTGTATAAAGTTCAAAACAGTCAAACAAATCTATAGTGTTAGAAGTCAGGATAGTGATTATCCTGAGGGCATAGAGCTTGTCCTAAAAGAGGAAAGTAGTGAAGGAGAGCAGGCAAAAAAGGAGCTTCTGGGGTGCTGGGAATGTCCCATTTCTTGTTTTAGTTAGTGCTGGTTACATGGGTGTGTTCAGTTTGTGAAAATTCTTCAAGCTGTATACATATAACTATGTACTTTTCTGAATATATGTAGTATTTCCAAAGAAAATCACCAACAAGTAAAAAAAAAAAAAAAGGGACTTCTCTACCAAAATAGAAATAGAACTCTTCATAGGAGTTTGCTAGTATGGAAAAGAATACTCAAAAACATTAAAGTTCAAAAATAAATAGACCTAGTCCCAGTCCTTTAGGTTTTCTTAAGGAGAAACCAAGGTTACAAAATCTAAAGAGAAACGGTGGCAAGTAATTTTCCCCCATCACCACAATATAGTGACACACTTCTGTAGGCTTTCTACTTTTCTTGAAATCACTAAAAATCTGGTCATTAAGGATCTGCTAAAAGCAATAATAAGTTACTTCAAACCAACCAAAAAGAATTTCAATAAATACCTCAATTTCCAAGCCACTCATATGCCTACCTCTTCCTCGGGTGAGAGTTTGATCTTCCCATCTCGGACAGGAAAGCCACTGCCAAATTCCTTTGAGGCAATGTCAGCTCCATATTCCACTGTGACATCCTCCTCAATAGTGCTTACCAGTCTCCAAAATTCTTTTTCAACAAGCTCTGTGGGAACCATCTGGAAATAGAAAAAATTAGTTTCCTCACAAATTGTCTGTGACCAACCTGACTAGATAAGCTCAGTGATGGGAATCAAAGAAGAGCAACCTAAGGAAAAATTGTATCTATAATGCTCTATAACTGATCCTAGGCAATTCAGGAAACCTCTAGTCTAGAAGGAATTCATGTTCCTCTATCACCAGCCAGGACACAACTGTAAAAAGGGAGCCAAGGAAAGCAATTATTTATGACCTGGAGATATTTTTGTATTTCAAAATATGTAACATAAATTGTATAGTAATAACGGTTAGTTGTGTTTGAATAACATATTGTACTGTACAGTTGACAACTGCATAGTAATAATAATGGTTTGTTGCCGGGCGCGGTGGCTCAAGCCTGTAATCCCAGCACTTTGGGAGGCCGAGGCGGGTGGATCACGAGGTCGAGAGATCGAGACCATCCTGGTCAACATGGTGAAACCCCGTCTCTACTAAAAGTGCAAAAAATTAGCTGGGCATGGTGGCATGTGCCTGTAATCCCAGCTACTCAGGAGGCTGAGGCAGGAGAATTGCCGGAACCCAGGAGGCGGAGGTTGCAGTGAGCCGAGATCGCGCCATTGCACTCCAGCCTGGGTAACAAGGGCGAAACTCCGTCTCAAAAAAAAAAAATAATAATAATAATGGTTTGTTGTTTCAATGATGTTGTATACTCTGAGGTGCATTCAAATATATTTCCTAAGTCCATCCTTTCATTCTTTTCACTGGACATGTCTGAGAGTAACGTAGGCAACCGACACAAAAAAAGAGAGTATAGGCCAGGTGTGGTGGTCACGCCTGTAATCCCAGCACTTTGGGAGGCCAAGGTGGGCAGATCACCTGAGGTCGGGAGTTCCAGACCAGCCTGACCAACATGGAGAAACGCCATCTCTACTAAAAATACAAAAAATTAGCCAGGTGTGGTACCGGGTGCTGGTAATCCCAGGTACTCAGGAGGCTGAGGCAAGAGAATTACTTGAACTCTGGAGGCGGAGGTTGCAGCGAGCCGAGATCGTGGCATTGCACTCCAGCCCTGAGACACTGCAAAACTGTCTCAAAAAAGAGAGAGAGAGAGAGAGAGTATATAGCAATGATCCCTAATGTCCCTGTGTTTTTGGCACCAGGGATGGGTTTCATGGAAGGCAATTTTCCATGGATGGGGAAGGGTAGGGCATGAGGGCTGGTGGGGAGGGGGATTACATTCTCATAAGAAATGTAACCTAGATGCCTTGCATGGGCAGTTCACAATAATAGTTTGCACTCCTATGAGAATCTAATGCTGCTGCTGATCTGACAGGAGGCAGAGCTCAGGTGGTAATGTTTGCCCACCAATTACCTCCTGCTATGCGCCCCGTTCCTAAGAAGCCACAGATTGCTATCTGTCCTTGGCTGAGGGAGGAGAGACACGTTGGGGACCACCAATATACAGGATATGAGCAGTTTGTAGCAGCACACCCTTAGAATAAAGAGTCACCAGACTAAATGTCAATCTGTTGTTAATCTGGTGTAAATCCAGAGGCAGGTAACATTTAAATGTCTATCCCTCAATGTCCCCATCTAATATTATATCAAAATGTAAAATTAACCACAGAAGAGGTTATATGCAAGTCACCAGGATCAGTTAAGCAAACGTATGGGCAAATGTTATAACACATAAGGAAGTCAGGAAAACTGAAAATTCAAATGAGGTATAAATTTAATTCCACATATAAGCAAATATTGTAAGTAACTAATAGCTGATGTTAGAGGTGTTAGGGAAAAGCAAGTTCACTCATATAATGCTGGGATCCATAAATTGACATAGCGACTGAGATGGAATGAGGAAGAATGACTGTCATCTGGCCTTAATAATTATCCCAAGAAAATAATCCAACTAAAGAGTTCTACATGCACGAAGGGTTTGCTGTAGTGCTTTATTAGTAGTGAGAAAAATCACAGCTTAAATATCCAGAATTAAAGCATTTCATTTTGGTGTACTCATTTGATGGAGTATTAAATGCTGAATGGAGCATGCTTATGCTTCAAAGTGAATAAAGGGGAATTAAAAATTGACTCATCCTGAAATTTTATAATACTAATGATTGATTATGTAATAAACTACAAATGTGTTCCCAATGCACAGTACACTCCTTGGCACACAGCAGCCATTGGATACGTACTTGTTGGGCCAAAACCATTGCTGGTGATTTTTTTTGTTAGTATTCTATTACTTCTGCTGTATGATCTGTGTGGAAGAGGTAACTTTAGAGAAATCTTCAAATAAAAAATTAGAATGCTTTTTAAAGTGTTGTGAAATTTTAAATACCACAAAACAAATTAAAGATTTCATTCTGTGTGATAATGCCTACCAGAGTGAGCCTCAACTAAAAATCTGTTTTCAGATACACTTTCTCCAAAAGTTATTAGAATCCTAAGTCAAAACAGTATATATGTACATACATGGACTGGCATGTTGAAGTAATCAGATTTGAATGCATCTGCCATTTCCCCAAAAGTACGGAGAGTATAGTCCCTGGCTGCTTGTTCAAAGCCAAATGCTTCTTGTGGCTTACTACATTCCTGAAAATAAAAAATAAAATTATGTTCTAGATGACACTTGAAAATATCAAGTATACCTGATCAATCATCAAGCTGGCAGATAAAAAACAAGACTTTGTTTATTTTACTTCTATGCTAGGTCTGTATTATAAAAATAAACCTGCCTGAAAAATGTGGTTGTTTTAATAAGCCAATGAAACACATTTTATTCATTTGCTAATGAGCAAATAAAATGTCAATTTTAACAACCACAACTTGGATACATTTATGTATTTATAAAGAGGCAACCTAAAGACTCGACTTCCTTCAGAATCGAATAATGTTTTCAATACTATAAATGAGAGAAATAATGTTATCTTGGGAGTTAAAACTATAAAATCAATACACAATAGATCAAAATAGAGATAAACTACTTGATGGAAACAGAATGGCTTTGAGGCCAGCAATATTTTATTATAACCTAATACTGGAAGGTAACAGGGGCAATATAAGCTGTCCTAGATCTTTGTGAGCCAACAGACTTAAATATTCCAGACCCACTGATAAGGTCATCTCTATTACAAGGTACTAAATAATTCATCTAACACCCATGGCCCCCTGCCCTGTCTCATGCCTAATAACCTCCCATTGATGGAGATACCCTTATGTTGTAACACAGCTACATGGAAAAGCACTCAAAACTTTATATCCATAAACCTTCTTACTATTATATTATAATCCAACCCTAACAAGGGTAATAGACTGACTGCTTCATAATATTAATACAAAATAATCCTCAGGGCTGGGCATGGTGGCTTACACCTGCAATCCTGGCACTTTGGGAGGCTGAGGCAGGCGGATCGTGTGACCTCAGGAATTTGAGACCAGCCTGGACAACATGGCAAACACTTTTTCTACTAAAAATACAAAAACTAGCCAGGAATGGTAGTACAAGCCTGTAGTCCCAGCTGCCCAGGAGGCTGAGAGGGGAGGATCACTTGAGCCCAGGAGGCGGAGGTTGCAGTGAGCTGAGATGACACCACTGAACTCCAGCCTGGGTGACAGAGTGAGATCCTGTCTCTAAATAAATAATCCTCATGAAGGTAGTGGTAGATCCTTTTCAGATTTTGCCAATGACAGCATGCACAATTAAAAACATCAGTAATCCCAGTGGTACATAAAAATGTCTCTATAAATGAAATAAGCAAATTACTAAAATTACTTATATAATGTAACTCCATTTGCTTAAAATAGAAAAAAGTCCGAATGACTATACACCAAGAAATTAACAGTGGTTATGTATGCCTTGTGAAATCACAGCCTTACCATTTAAGTTGTTCAGTGTTTTAGTAATTCTTGCAAAGAGCATGTGACCTTTTTATAAGAAAATTTTAAAAATAAACAATAAGATAGTTATTAAAAATTATTTTCTGTCTCTTAACTACCTATATATATTGTGGAACTCACTTCTAAGAACTCTTTCCTATTCAGGGCCAGCCCAGTTTTCTTCACAGGCTTCACTACTGTCGATTGCCAAATCTAAAACTCAAAGGCAGGCCAAGTGAGGTGGCTCAGGCCTATAATCCCAGCACTCTGGAAGGCTGAGGCAGGAGGATTGTTTGAATTCAGGAGTTCGAAACCAGCAACATGGTGAAACCCCCTCTGTACAAAAAAATACAAAAACTAGCCAGGCGTCATGGCATAGGCCTGTAGTCTCAGCTACTTGGGGAGCTGAGGTGGGAGAATCACTTGAGCCAGGGAGATTGAGTCTGCAGTAAGCTGTGTTTGTACCACCGCACTCCAGCCTGGGCAACAAAGTGAGTCCCTGAAACTCAAAGGCAAAGAAAAATGTCCTATAGAAAATTCTAATGTTACTTCTACCATTAATTCTTACCTGAGCCAAACACTTAGGACACCTCCAGTCTCCCTTGGGAACATCATGGAGAGGTGGGATCAAGCAAAAGGTATGGTAACTGTCATCACAGCCATCACACAACAGTAGCCGGTCTTCATCATTGCCACTGCCACATAAGAGGCAGACATAGAGGTCCACCTGTAGCAGTAAAAATGGGTATAGAACAACGGAATTATGAGCTGTTATCTGATTTTCTAAAATTCTAGGAATGAAATGAATCTGAGGCATAATCTAGTCTCTTCATCCTGCTTCAAATGCTTCAACCTCTAAAAGGAATATTTTAAATAAAAATGCTTCACTTTCTATGAGGGATATTTCACAATACCTCATGCATACCCAAATCTAAAGTGTAACTTCCTAGCTTTCTCAACTGTCACGCATTTAAAGTTTGTTATTTAAAGATCTAGTTTTTAGCAGGTTCTAAAACAACAAGATGCCAAGCATGGCAGTGCACGCCTACAGTCCCAGCCACCTGGGGAGTTGAGACAGGAGGATCACTTGAGCCTGCTAAGCCAAGGTTGCAGTGAGCCCTTATTACACCATTGCATTCTAGCCTGGGTGACAGAGACCGTCTCAGAAAAAAAAAAAAAAGATACCAGATAATAAGTAATAAATTACCAACCTAACCAAAAGTAGAATTTATGAAGGAAAAAATACAATTTTTTCATATTTTAAACAAAACAGTTTTAAAGTCAATTAACCACATTAAACTACCAATTTAGGCCGGGCACGGTGGCTTAAGCTTATAATCCCAATACTTCTGGAGGCCCTGGCAGGATTGCTTGAAGCCAGCACTTGAGACCAGGCTGGGCAATCTGGTGAGACATTGTCTCTACAAGAAATTAAAAAAAAAAAAAATTAGCTGGGCATGGTGGTGCACACCCATAGTCCCACCTACTTAAGAGGCTGGGGCAAGAGGATCCCTGGAGCCCAGGAGTTCAAGGTCTCCGTAGCTATGATTGCATCACTGTACTCCAGCCTGGGTGACAGAGACCCTATCTCTAAAAAAATTAAAATAAATTACCACTTTTAATTCTAATTAAGGGGCCATGGTTAAGAAGTTCCTCTAATGCCCAGTGATAATGCATATTATTATTTGTTATGGAGTACCCTGTATGCCCCCCAAAACTCACATGTTGAAGTCCTAACCCTCAGTACCTCAGAATGCGACCATATTTGGAAATGACTCCTTTAAGAGGTAATCATCCAATATGACTGGTGTCCTTATAAGGACAAAGATATGTACAGAGGAAAGACCATGTGAAAAACAGCCATCTACAGCCAAGGAAAGAGGGCTCAGAAGAAATCAACCCTGCCAACACCTTGATCTCAAATTTCCCAGCCTATACAACTGTGAAAAAATAAATTTCTGTTGTTTAAGCCACTCAGTCTGTGGCACATCCTTATGGCAGCCCTAGCAAACTAATACATTACTCAATACTAGAAAAGCTGAACATTCAACTAAACAGGGAGTCTAACTGTTTCAGTCTATTTATTGTAGTAAATAAAAATCTAGCTCTGTCAGTTTCCTGATTGTATTCGGGAGAGAGGGTAGGGCAGAGGATGATATTTATGGAGAGAACATTCAATTAGAATAATTTCTAGTTTCAAGAAAGAAAATACTGTTTCAGGCTCTCGGAAGGTGGCAGAGAAGAACCACCAGATCCCTTCTAATGCCATCGGGCTTTACTTTCAATAAAAGTTTTCCACAAGTAAACAGCTCCCAGCCCTCTAACTCTGCCATGTCCTCCTCCCTACCCCCGACAACTGCTTTCCTTTGTTCTTTTTGCTCTTCCTTCCTTCTCTACTTTCCTTTCATTCCTTCCTTCCTCTTCCTTCTTCCTTTTTTATTCCTTCTTTTGATTTCCTTCCTTCCCTTTGCTAGCTGGAGAGTTGAAAAACACTAACTTTTTTTTTTTTTTTTTTTTTTTTCAAGAGACAGGGTTTCACCATGTTGGTCAGGCTGGTCTTGAACTCCTGACTTCAGGTGATCCGCCTGCCTCGGCCTCCCAAAGTGCTAGGATTACAGATGTGAGCCACCATGCCCGGCCTAACTTGGATTTTTTGATCTAGTCTTAAGCTCATGTAGAAGTGAGCTAGTGATTTACGAGCAATTCCATGTATAATGAGCTAGATTACAGTTCATTATTATTTAGTGCTAAAGTAAAAGCATTGCAGAAAAATGGCAGTCAATGCCCCCTAGATGTTACTACCATCTTTATAATAGGATCATGTATTTCTTCATTTATTAACTAATACTAGAAACTGACTTCAAAATATCTTTTTATTATCGAACACTAAATTAAACAGTCTTATTTAAGGCACAAAAGTTTAAACTGGGGGGTAAAGTAGATTAAAGAAAGGAGAAGGAAAAGAAGAAAAAGGAGAAGAGAAGGAAAAAATAAAAAGGAGAAAGGGAGATGTCACTCACAGCATTGGTGGCTTTTTTAGATCGACTCTTGGGCTTTTCCTTCTCATTTTCCACAATATAATCTTTCCTCTCAATGGGTTCTTGCTTGATGCTACTCTTCGTTTCTTTCTCTGTAGGAGGCAATTCAAAATTAACTATTTCTGTATGATGCTTTTCTCCACTTCCTCCCTCACCTCAGCATCTCCCTCCCAATGCACACACTGTACACAAACATCATTTCATGTGTGTTTTCATTTTTGTAGCAATAGCACCCAGTATACTTTATTCAAGGGCTCAAATGTTGACTACTTGGAAAAAGTGCAAACTCTTGTGTCATTTAAATTTCAAGATTTAGTTTATGTCTGGAGACGTCTCTCAAGTTTGTATGCTTTCAAAATAGGAGCTAGAGTTTTCTTAAGACTAAGACATAATATATACTCATAAAAAAAGTTCCTCTTGGCCATGACTGTAAGAGACCAACAATTCACCAACTATACCTGCTCATCACACATTATCTCTCCATGATCTAAGATGACTTCCTGGTCATCCTCCTGGTCTCCAAATTCCTGATTCTGAAGCCTGAGAAGTTTGGCTAAAACACTGGCTATCAATTAATGAACTATCATGTGGTAGGTGTTGTGGGCTAAATGTTTTCCATAAAGTATTTAATCCTTCACAACAAACCCATTTCAAAGGTAAGAAAACTCATGTTAAAGTAAGTCAAGAAATACCTCTAAGGTCACAATAGCTAGTCAGCAGTTGGGCGAAGATTACTGTATTACTTTATATTGTATCTCTATTACTTTCCACTGCATTATGCTGCCTTTCCACTAGCTCACAAATGCTTAAGTGGAGCAAATTTTAGTAACTTCTTAATTTGTATGTGCCTCCTATGTAGGATATAAGATTTCTCTTAAAAGAATCTCAAATTCACCTCTCAGTGGCTTACATCAAGTCATAGCCAGGCAAGCAATTAACTACAATTCAGATTTAGGAAGCATGTCTGTTTGCCTTGACTGAAATAGATCTATTAGACATTTAGTCAAAGACACCTGTATTTTTCACAAATTACTTCTTTTCAATGACTGTATTGATTCAAACTTCAAAGTAGCAACTCACTACAGGTGAGAAAGTCATCCACACTTCCAATACGCATACATACAGCATCTGTTTCTCTCTTCCACTAGTCAGTTAATTATGAGAACAAGGACATTGTTGATATATTAAGATTTTATTTCTCAAAGCCCAACCCAGTGGCTACTATGCAATAGCTGTGCTAATATTTTACTTTTAAATTTTTTTCTATTGACTTTTTCAGCTTATAATGTTTACTTTACGAATAATTAATTTTACTTTATTTACTTTTACTTTCCTATTCATGGATAAATTTTCTTACCACTTTCAAATTTTGGAGTTGGACAACCCATTCGACGTCTCAGGTTGTGAGTTCTGGCTTCTGTTGTCTCTTCGGGTTCTATTTTAATATTCATGGCCTAAAAAAAATTGTCATATACATGAATATTTCCTTTAAGAAGAAATATTCTTTAAAAATCCAACTGGAATCTCAAGGTGACTATATCCTACAAATTGTCTCTATTAACAGGGTATTCAAAACATCTCTCTCTTTCTAGGGAAGAGAGTTCACCTTTGAAACTACTATTAAGGCATGGATGAGAAATTTCAAAATAGGGAAAAGTTGGCCAGGCACAGTGACTCACACCTGTAATAGAAACACTTTGGGAGACCGAGGCAGGCAGATCATTTGAGGTCAGACAAAATTCAAGATCAGCCTGGCCAACAATGAAACCTTGTCTCTACTAAAATAAAATAAAAAAAAAATTAGCTGGGCATGGTGGCATACACCTGTAATCCCAGCTACTTGGGAGGCTAAGGCAGGAGAATCGCTTGAACCTGGGAAACGGAGGTTGCAGTGAGCCAAGATTGTGCCACTGCACTCTAGCCTGGATGACAGAGCAAGACTCTGTCAAAAAAAAAAAAAAAAGTAGGAAAAAGTCAAAGGATCAAGAACAAATTGTGGCTGGGCAAGACGGCCCATACCTATAATCCCAGCAATTTGGGAGGCTGAGGTGGGCAGATCACTTGACACCAGGAGTTTGAGATCAGCCTGGCCATCATGGTGAAACCCTGTCTCTACTAAAAATACAAAAATCAGCCAGGTGTTGTGGCGCACACCTGTGGTCCCAGCTACTCAGGAGGCTGAAGCACGAGAATTGCTTGAACCAGGAGGCAGAGGTTACAGTAAGCCAAGATCATGCCACTACACTTCAGCCTCGGCAACAAGAGCCAGTCTCTGTCTCAAAAAAAAAAAAAGAGAGAGAGAGAAGTGTTTCTATTCAAAATCAGGACAACTCTTATTTTCCTCCTAGAAGGTTCTTGGTTCTTATCTATTTGTTTAATGCTTTATTCAATTGTCGCACTAAGCCAAATGGCACTAAGTAGTTATATAAATGTCACAATTCCATTAGCCTCTAAAAGTTTGCTGACCTCTTCCAAGGTCTGCCAGTAATTATAGAAAATTTGGCTTCCACAATAACTTTCCATAAATTATTTTAATAAACTATTATTATAAACTACACTTCTAACATCACTAAACTGTTAAGGACTCCTTCCTCATTGAGAATGTATAAGCCAATCTCTATTATTTCTTAAAGTGTTGATACTTATTGGTAAAGCAAACAAAGCCATTTTTTAGTGGTCTGTAATGCTGAAATATTTGAGGAACTATACTTTCTCACTTTGCCCCTGTTTCTTCATACATATTAAGGATGTCCACTGCTAAAAAGAGTTTCTTCCATGAGCAATATCATTACTGTCAGGTGTCATCGAGGCAGACACAGGCATCCACAGCACTGGGGCACGTCTTACATATATATTTATAAGATCAAGAATATGCTCAAAAAAGAACTGATTCATAGATTAATGACTCTTAAACATGCTTATGGGCTTCAAATAACCATATTTTCCTTATTCTGGGCAGTCTTCTTCCTTAAGAAAAAAGGAGTCACTATGTTTTTTTCCTATCTCAACTTACCAAGTGAAAAACAATTCTTATTTATTTCTTCAGAAAACAAAATGGCTGATTTTTTAAAATTTTTGATAATCATCAAAAACCAGTGACTGATTTACTATGATTAATGCAATATGACGCTTCCCAGCTCTGAACAGTTACCTATATGTGATCACTGAGTCCTAAAACTCACATGTCCATCAGGCTAGGCAGGAATCCAAAATCTTTTTTTTTTTTTTTTTGGAGACGGAGTTTCGCTGTTGTTACCCAGGCTGGAGTGCAATGGCGCAATCTCGGCTCACCGCAACCTCCGCCTCCTGGGTTCAGGCAATTCTCCTGCCTCAGCCTCCCGAGTAGCTGGGACTACAGGCGTGTGCAACCATGCCCAGCTAATTTTTGTATTTTTAGTAGAGACGGGGTTTCACCATGTTGACCAGGATGGTCTCGATCTCTTGACCTCGTGATCCACCCGCCTCGGCCTCCCAAAGTGCTGGGATTACAGGCATGAGCCGCAGTGCCCAACTCAAAATCTTTATACCTCTGGTATGGGAACAAGATAACTAGAAAAATATTCTTTCATTCCCAGGGAAAACTTCTCAGAGCAGAAAAGTGTTTTTTTTTTAAGAGACAAGGTTTCACTTTGTTGGTCAGGGTGGTTTTGAACTCCTGACCTCAGGTGATCCACCCACCTGGGCCTCCCAAAGTGCTGGAATTACAGGCATGAATCACCACACCCGGCTGCAGAAAAGTCTTAAAGCAAATAATCCTTCTCCAGCCTGGGAAACACAGTGAGATCTTGTCTCTATCTAAAATCTTTTAATTAAGTAGGCACATGTGGCATACATCTGTAGTCCCAGCTACTCAGGAGGCTGAGGTGGCAGGATCATCTGAACCTAGAAGCTTACAGTGAGATCATGCCATTGGCCCTCCACACTAGGAGACGTAGCAAGAACATCTCTAAAATGAAGAAGAGGAAGAAGAAAATAAAATCCTTTCTTATCAATCTTTCCCTACTGACTTTCCCTCATGTGTCTCTTTTATCTCATCCTATTTATTCAGTGCCCCCTGAGGCTGCCCAATTCTTCAGCTTAGCATAAATATGTGCCACTGATTCCATAAAAAGTCTGAGAAAAGTGGGTCGGGCATGGTGATTCACGCCTATAATCCTAGCACTTTGGGAGGACAAGGTGGGCAGACCGCCTGAGCTCAGGGGTTCGAGACCAAGCTGGGCAACATGGTGAAACCTTGTCTCTACTAAAATAAAAAAAAAATTAGCTGGGCATGGCAGCGTGCGCCTGTAGTCCCAGCTACTCCGGAGGCTGAGGCAGGAGAATTGCTTGAACCTGGGAGAAAGAGGTTGCAGTCAACCAAGATCACACCACTGCACTCCAGCCTGTGCAATAGAGTGAGCCTCTATCTCTTTCCAAAAAAAAAAAAACAAAGGAAGTATGAGAAAAGTGGCTTTAACTGTCTTCTAACCACTCTGTTTAAAAAAACTCCTCATCTTCGGGCTTTCTAGCCTTAATCTTCATTAAACATCACCCAACTTTGTAAGGGTAATGGGCAATCCAAGTAAGAAGACAAGAACACCAATTCTTCCTAAGGCCTTGACTAATAACAAGGAGCTATCTGTCCCGGCAGCATAAACTTTGAAAGATTTCTTCAATTCCTTACCCCTTTGATGGTACAATTCACCCAAGTGTAAAAGCTGGAATACAAACAGCATCCCTTTGTGAGATTAACAAGGTTCAAAACTACAAAGTACATACACATAAGAGAAATCCAGCGTCAGACAGCCATTAGTATTAGGGCTTGAGAATTCTTTCTCATCAAACTCACGAAGCTCTTACCTCTGCTCTCATGCGTTTTGCTCGTCGGGCTGGGGGGCATGTTTCCGAGGGCTGCACAGACTGTCTCTGGGGAATATCATGGGGTTTGTACTCCTTGTCCTTGGTGTCTGTGGTCAGATTTGGCTTCTGTAAACACTGGAAATAACAACTGTACTGATTAATTCCCTCTTTTTTTAATCTTGGAGAGATTCAGTGGAATTTTTAAGGTATATTTTACAACTATTTATGTAGATAACATAACAAGCCTACAATTTAAAAAAATCTAAATAAAAATAAAGACAAGTCTGCAGTTACCAACCACATACGTGCACATATACAGGTAAAAAAAAAAAAAAAAGATTTTTAAAAATGTTAACAGGTAGTGTTGCTTTGACTTTTCATTGCTGACATCATCAGGTTACAACAGGCCATAGCAGTCTCAAGGCATTCCCATTGAACCATTCGGAATTTTTTTGCTTGCAATTGTCAGTTAATAGGTCTAAATTGTTAGAAAGGCCCCTTATAAGCTCCCAGAACAGTTTTCCATATTAAAAATATCTCATTTTAAAAAAGTGTTTGGAATTAAAAAATAGGGAATCCAATATGTTTGCTAGATAACTGTATAGTAACTAGCAAAGTTGTCATCTAGAGATACCGCCTGAATTGAAAACACAGGTCTTTTGACTGAAGTATTCTCCCTCATTAGGGTTTCCATTTACTACAGCATATCCCTAACAAAGTCTAACTAAAAAGGCAAAGATCAACTGGCAGCCCAGAGTAATAACTTTGGTTCTGATCAGAAATGCATCTATTCTTGCTTTGGTTTTTCTTTTTAGTTTAATTCTAAGCTAGAGGACATTCAAGGCCAACATAACATTACCACAACAAACATATTGCCACTAGAGCCAATATGAATTTCAGTTAAATACTACTCTTTCATAAGATGACCCACAACATCATGAAAAACCTTTTTAAAAGCAAGTTCTAAAGTAACCCTCTGGGATGTGTTACAGCAGCTATATTTGGAAAGAAATACATGGAAATAATAACCTTCCTAAAGTACTGACACTATGGGCACCATTACTACCCTAAAATCTCACTACTAAGATCTGGCTCCTTTCTCTCTCACATTTGCAGAAATACAGACATTGGGGGATGAACAACATACAAAGCAACAAAAGGATAAAGTTTATTTCTAATAGTTGAGAAATATACTATCAAAAAATATTGACTCATTACTTGTTAACAAGTAATAAATATACCACTGGTAACAGCATCCTATAAATATTAAATATTCTGCTCATTCTACTTAAACCTACACTTTGATTTGATACAGAAAAGTTAACTATTATATTCCTAACAGTTAAAACATTTACATTCTGAAAAAAGTTGGGTCAGCCTCAGTGGCTCATGCCTGTAATACCAGCACTTTGGGAGGCTAAGGCAGGTAGATCACTTGAGGTCAGGAGTTTGAGACTAGCTTAGCCAAGCAACATGGTGAAATTAAAAAAATACAAAAATTATCTGAGCATAGTGGCACGTGCCATAATCACAGCTACTCTGGAGGCTGATGAAGGAGAATTGCTTGAAATTGGGAGGTGCAGGTTGCAGTGAAGCAAGAATGTGTCAATGCACTTCAGCCTTGGTGACAGAGCAAGACTCTGTCTCAAAACAAAAACAAAAACAAAAAAGTTATGAGACAAATTAAATACTAATAACAGTTGAAATAAATATTTAATTTTTTAAAAAAATTAGTATAGAACATTGCCTTCTTTTCTGTAAAAAGTCTTCAATAGAGCATTTAGAGTATGTTTAATGAAATTATGCAGAGGGGAATAAAACCAGTTCATCATCTAAGTTGATCCCCTCTATGTATTCAATGTACTTTCTATTGGAGACACAAAGGTATGAGAGATTAGGAAAATACTAACGGAGCTGAATCACATAAATTCTGTTAAGTGGATGATCACAAATACAGATACTATATATGTGGTTCCTATCTCCTACTAGTTAGTCTCAGTGTTTCCATCTGTGGTCTGCTTGGTTCTGTAAGGTTTCTGGAGACCTAAGAAAATCACACCCTGTAGTTTTTTAGAAGAAATACAAAGAGCTTTAATATTTTGTTCTAAACCACAATTCAAAATACATGATATGTTAGTTTTATATCTAATGTTATTAATACACAGACATTAATTTTAACCTTTACTCAAGAAACTAGTCCTAGGCACAATCTAGGACTTAGAAGCGATTAATATCATCATCATGCCATAAACACATCATCCCACAAAGACAGAGCAATCCCTTAAGACATTCAGAAAACATGATGATGTAAGATTGAGGCCTCTGTTCCATTATAACAATGTATCAACTTTTCTTAAGCTTCCCCCCCAAAATTTTTTTTTTTGAGACAGAGCTCTGTCATCAAGCGCCAGGTGGGACGGCTCACTGCAACCTCCACCTCCTGGGTTCAAGTAATTCTCCTGCCTCACCCTCCTGAGTAGCTGGGACTACAGGCACACATACCACCACACCCAGCTAATTTTTTGTATTTTTAGTAGAGACGGGGTTTCACTATGTTGGCCAGGATGGTGTCGATCTCTTGACTTTGTGATCTGCCAGCCTTGGCCTCCCAAAGTGCTGGGATTACAGGCGTGAGCCACCATGCCCAGCCGCTTCCCAAAATTTAACTTACACTCCAGTTCACCCTTTTGCAACAACTCCTTCACTGCACACCTCTGTTTTTCATAACTATATGTTCTCCAATTCTTGCCCTACTAAGTATCTCAAAAACCAGAAACAGGTATAAAAATTTACATACAAAGAATGTTCATCATAATATTATAATACAAAACTAGAACCGAACTAAACATTCAACAATTGAATAACTGAAAATAAAGTCCAGCTATAAAAAATGGATTGCAGTCATTAGAAATCATGTCTTCAAAAAATATTCAATGATATAGCAAATGCTCATGATATGTTAAGTAAAAAAAACCCAAGATGCAATGATGTATGTGAAAAGTACACTTCCAATTTGTAAACGTATGCATAAAAATAGCCCTAAGAGAAATAACAGGTAGAAGTATTGCGAGTGATTTTATTTTTGCCATACTTTCCTCTGGTGTTTTTAAACTTTCTGCAATGAATGTGTATCACTTCCTAAAACATCCCTGGTACACAGTTAAGTCCCTCAACAAATATTTACCTATATTGTAGATGCAATGGTTACAAAAGGGTACCTTTAAATACTTATTCCATTCAGACTCTTTGTATAAATGCTTAAGTGCTTTTTAACTATAAAACTACATTGCCTTTTTAAGTATGTATGTGACACATTTCTAGGCCGGGCGCGGTGGCTCACGCCTGTAATCCCAGCACTTTGGGAGGCCAAGGCGGGTTGATCACAAGGTCAAGAGATCGAGACCATCCTGGTCAACATGGTCAAACCCCGTCTCTACTAAAAATACAAAAATTAGCTGGGCATGGTGGCTCGTGCCTGTAATCGCAGCTACTCCGGAGGCTGAGGTAGGAGAATTGCTTGAACCCAGGAGGCGGAGGTTGCGGTGAGCAGAGACTGCGCCATTGCACTCCAGCCTGGGTAACAAGAGCGAAACTCCGTCTCAAAAAAAAAAAATAATAAGTGTCACATTTCTAAAGGTTACAGCCCGCACAGCAGCAGTAAAGGGCCTCTCTCTCTCTTCTCTGTAACTTCCTCTTGAACTTACAAAGAGTTCAAGAAAAGAAAATTAATCTACTATGGGCAACTCTATCTAGCTTTGACTATAAGAGGGAAAAAGGTTCCACATTCAATATTCTAAACAATTTCATCCATGGGTCACTAAACATTCATACAATGTACTAAAAAAAAAAAATTAAAAAATACAATTTAAAAAAGGTTTTGAATGTCAGATTAGCCACTTTCTTCCAGGCTAAAAAGAAAATTCACCTGGAATCAATAAGGGAGAGAGGGAAGAAAAACAACATCTGCCAGATTTAAGCATTACCGATGGTGTGGGTGTGTGTGTGGGTGTGGGTGTGTGTGCGCGCACGCACATGCGCGCGCACGTGTGTTTTTGTGTATGTCTGTCTGTCTGTCTGTAATATTAGGACTGGACTTTGATTAGTGATTTACCCCTCAGAAACTATGTTATTCTGTTCCTACCTCTCTATAGCATAGAAAACAATTCTTAAATTATAGGGCTCATTGCTGTAAGTCCTAGAATAACTCAAAGGGTATGAATGGATAATGACACCCCTCTTCTTTCTACTAAGGCCTGAAAATAAATGGAAGTTTTTATAGGATTGTTTTATCTAAAAGTTTTTACGTGAAGGATTTCACAAATACCATTTTCGTCAGGAAATGAACATGGCTACACAGGAACTACTGGAAGAAAACCATTAGCTATGTGACATTATAAAACCCCCTGTCTTTTATCAGTGTCAACATTCTGACAATCTCCTTAGAAATCTTAGCTGGAAAAGAGAATAGGTAGGCAAGTTATTTCACAGCTTATACCTTCATATGACAGCCAGAAATACTTTAAATTCTTTAAATTTAAAGTGAATGCAAAGTTGTAACAAGTACATAATAACTCCTTGTTGTAAAGAAAAACCACCTGTAGTGAAGTTGATAAAAATTTCAGCTCTGACAATAAAAAAAATTTCCTCCAGAATCTTACTCATTCCAGAAACAAACTTCTAAGTATAGTGGCTCTCAAAGCAGAACAAAAACACTGGAGAAAAAACCCCACAAAACAAGGTCTTCACTTTTTTTTTTTTTTTTTAACTGTAACTCTAAGGCATTTTATTATAAAAAGTTATTACTCATATACATAAAGTAATATGTACTTAAAATTCATGATACATTTACTTCATTTTTTAGCTTGACCTTCTAGTAGATCCTTAGCTTCATTTATTTTGGCTGCTATATAAGGAGATCCTCCTTTGTCAGGATGATTTAAAAGCATAATTCGTCGATGAGCATCTCTTATTTTCCCTTTATTGGCAGTAGGGCTTACACCTAGTATTAATGCTGCTTCCCGTTTTGTCATTTTGGGTTCAACCCCACCTCTGTAATAGCCACCACTGAAGGCAGATTTTGGTAGACTTTGAAAAACTTGTTTTACTTGAGGCTCCATATGCTTCACGGCTTGCAAAACATAACGGCCTGCAAATCCTGCAGCTGCAATGGTCAGTCCAACTGCTACCATTGTACTGGCCATGGCCTCTGCCGCGAGCCTGGCTCATTCCCGCGCAGAGGCCGCGGCTGCCGCCCGCACGCCGGGAGCAGAGCCAGGTCTTCATTTTTTTTTTGGAGACGAGAGTCTTGGAGTCTTGCTGTTTCGCCCAGGCTGGAGTAAAGTGACGTGATCTCAGCTCACTGCAACCTCCGCCTTCTAGGTTCAAGCGATTCTCCTGCCTCAGCCTACCAAGTAGCTGGGATTACAGGCACCCACCACCATGCCCAGCTATTTTTTGTATTTTTAGTACAGACGGGGTTTCTCCATGTTGGCCAGGCTGGTCTCAAACTCCTGACCTCAGGTCATCTACCCGCCTTGGCCTCCCAAAGTGCTGGGATTACAGGCATGAGCCACCATGCCCCGCTAAAAAAAGGTCTTCTAAAAGAAGGTCTTCCAAACACAATCAATGCCTTATCATTTCCCTGGAAAGACAATGTACCAACAAGTGGTAAAATAAAACTAGTCTCCAAACTCACCCTTAAGCTGTCTCCAGACAGGAATAAGTTGTAGGGGTTGAGGATTCGTTCATAATGTCCTCGGATATGTGAGCCCACTGCTTTGCCAGGAGCAAACCCCATCTTGGTAGCAATTTTGGTCCATTTTCTATCCTTGCAAACAACTGCAAATCCACCTTCTTCTGCAACTAACTGTTAAAATAGCAAAATTAGAAACAACTATATGGAAGTCACCTCTAATCGCACCTAAGTATGACTCCAAGAGGGAAATATTCTTGGTTATGGTTACCTTTTAAAAACATGTTTTTGGTTGCAAAATCAAGGTCAAAAAAAAAAAAAAAAGTTTGGCCAGTCAAACACAAACACATACACACACACACACACACAAAATTAATTTTAAACTAGAAAATTTAAACATCTCTCTTGACAGCATGGTCCATAAACATTTTGTCCCCTCTAAGCTACTTCTCACATCCTCAAAGCAATCATGTGGAAAGAACCACATTACCTAAAACTAAATCTCTAACCAAAGAAGGGGCTGTAATACTTGGTCTTACTTTGGACTCTTAAATAAATCTCTAGAGACTAAAGACTAGGATGCATGCCAGCATGTTTGACGGAAATAATGTAAATTTCAGAATTAAATGGGCCTGGTATTGAATTATGGCTCAGATTTTATTTATTTATTTTTTCCTGAGACAGAGTTTTGCTCTTGTTGCCTAGGCTGAAGTACAATGGCGTGATCTCCGCTCACTGCGACCCCTGCCTTGCCGGTTTAAGCGATTCCTCTGCCTCAGCCTTTCGAGTAGTTGGAATCACAGGCATACACCACCATGCCTGGCTAATTTTGTATTTTTTGTAGAGATGGGGTTTCTTCATGTTGGTTAGGCTGGTCTCAAACTCCTAACCTCAGGTGATCCACCCGCTTCTGCCTCCCAAAGTGCTGGGATTATAAGCATGAACCACCACGCCTGGCCATGGTTCAGCTTTTTTAGCTTTTTCTTTATCACCCTGAACCTCAGTTTCCTTATCTGTAATAAAAAGAAACAGTGTGCAGACTTTTTGTAAAGTTCAAAAATTGCGAAAACAGGTGGCAGCAAAATATTCCACAAGGCTTCACGACATGGGAAGCAGATCATCATCACTCAACTGACTTGAGAATCTCATTTCACACATCTCAAAAAACAAGTTTGTTTTCTCTTTTTTTTTTTGAAACAGGGTCTCACTCAGTTACCCAGGCTGGAGTGCAATCACAGCTCACTGCAGCCTCCACCTCCTGGGCTCAAGTGATCCTGCCACCTTAGCCGCCTAGGAAGCTGGTACCACAGGCACATGCCAACATGCCTGGCTAATGTATTTTGTCAAGACAGGGTTTACCCACGTTTCCCAAACTCCTGGGCTCAAGCAATCCTCCCATCTCAACCTCCCAAAGTGCTAAGATTACAGGCGCAAGCCACCTTGCTGAGCACTAAGTTTGTTTTTAAGGCAAAGAAGACCAAATTCATTCTGTCAGTAAGATTATTAAATGAGTAAGATGGTCATTAGTCCTTTACCTTATTAAGCTGAAATAAGTCCAAGATCTTCCTCTCCACATGTGGAATTTTCAGAGTACTTCCCTGTAACTCCCAGTACTTTGCAATCTGGTCCAAGAAATTCAATTTTACACGAGTTTGAGCCTAAAAGACAATGAATTGCGTTTTCATCTCATTTAGCTTAAAGTTCCTATTACCTGCCCATGTGATATTTTCTTTCTTAGAATATTTAATTACAATACCATTTAAAAACTTCTTTTTAAATGCAATGCTTTCGGCAGAATCATACAATACCACTTTCTAAATTCAATGAGAAACAGCCAAAAATACACAAAATAAAGCTGGTTAAATAAGTATACATGGCCGGCCAGGTGCAATGGCTCATGCCTGTAATCCCAGCACTTTGGGAGGCCGAGGGGGGCAGATCACCTGAGGTCAGGAGTTTGAGACCAGCCTGGCCAACATGGTGAAACTCCCTATCTACTAAAAATATAAAACTCAGCCAGGTGGGGTGGGGTGCACCTGTAAACCCAGCTACTCAGGAGGCTGAGGCTGAAGAATCCCTTGAACCGAGGAGGCAGAGGCTGCAGTGAGCCAAGATCATGTCACTGTATTCCAGCCTGGACAAGAGAGCAAGACTCCATCTCAAAAAATAATAATGAGGTCAAGAGTTGAAGACCAGCCTAGGCAAAACGGTGGAACCCCATCTCTACTAAAAATACCAAAAAATTAGCCAGGTTTGATGGCATACACTTGTAATCCCAGCTACTTGGGAGGCTGAGGCAGGAAAATCACTTGAACCCAAGAGGCAGAGGTTGCAGAGAGCCAGGATTGTACAGCTGCACTACAGCCTGGTGACAGAGTGAGACTCTGTATCAAAAAAATTAAAATTTTAGTTGACTTAAATTTGATTCAGTCCCTACCACATGACAGACAGGTAGTTAAACACTCAGTAGTATACCTTGCTGCAACGTAAGTAGTAACTCTGAAAGGAGCTTAAGTAGTGCTATAAGCACAATTCCCTATCATTGTTTAAAATTATATGGCAAGTAGCCGGGTGCGGTGGCTCAAGCCTGTAATCCCAGCACTTTGGGAGGCCGAGGCGGGTGGATCACAAGGTCAAGAGATCGAGACCATCCTGGTCAACATGGTGAAACCCCGTCTCTACTAAAAAACCCAAAAAAATTAGCTGGGCATGGTGGCGCGTGCCTGTAATCCCAGCTACTCAGGAGGCTGAGGCAGGAGAATTGCCTGAAACCGGGAGGCAGAGGTTGCGGTGAGCCGAGATCGCGCCATTGCACTCCAGCCTGGGTAACAAGCGAAGCTCCGTCTCAAAAAAAAAAAAAAAAAAAAAAAAAAAAATTATATGGCAAGTAAACAAATTTTATATGCCCAGCTTTGGAAGTCAGAGGAGGCAGGAGGACTGAATGAGTCCAGGAGTTTGATCAGCCCAGGCAACATAGGGAGACTTATCCCTACAAAAAAAATACAATTGTATGAATTGTGTGTGTGTATGTGTGTGTGTGTGTATCTTCACATATGTAAATACATATATATTGTTGCCCAGGCTGGAGTGCCAAGTGCAGTGGCACAACCATGGCTCTATAGTCTTGACCTCCCAGTCTGAAGCAATCCACCCACCTCAGCCTCCCGAGTAGCTGGAACTACAGGCACATGCCACCACACTTAGCTAATTTTTTAAATTATTATTTGGTAGAAACGGGGTCTTGCTTTGTTGCCCAGGCCAACCGTCCTGCCTCAGCCTCCCAAAGTGCTGAGATTACAAGTGTGAGCCACCATGCCTAGCCAATTCAGTATTTTAAAGACCTGCTCTCTATTCAAAGAAATTTTCTTATTTACTCAAATACAAATCTAAAAACAGATTTATATTGGTGATTCTATAACAATTTTAATACATCCTAGTAATTTCAAAAAGGGTTCCCCTGGAATACAGGCAAACAGAACACTTACCTCCAATTCATTCAGTCTCTGGATACGTGGCGTAAAATGAAGTTTATCAACATCACATGCAAATGGTGGCTGCCAATCCTAGCAGAAAGCAAAGGCTCTTATTAGAATAACTTACAAGTATTTGACATTTAAAAATTTGTTTTAAAATTAAAACCCAAGTTAGGTAAATCTGATTCTAACCAATCAAACAAAATAGAACATAGAGTAGCAGTTTCTCAATCTTTTGTCCATGAAAGCAACAAAATACGTATGAACACTCTTTCCCAAATAAATGATATATCACACATACACCTCTCCCCACAAACCTTCCCACTGAGCAATGTCACTGAGACTGTTTAAAAAAAAAAAAAAAACACTGACTTAGGCAAAAGACACTTTGACTTCTTTATTACCACAGAAGTATCTCATTTTTTATTTAACAGCTATATTATCTATAATTTTTAAAAATACATTTAACTTTCCAGTCACACTAACTCTTTAAATTCTTTTTTTCTTTGGGACAGGGTCTCACTCTGTTGCCCAGGCTTAAGTATGGTGGCGCAATCACAGCTTGTGGCAACCTCTGCCTTCTGAACTCAAGCCATCTTCCACCTCAGCCTCCTGAGTATCTGGGACCACAGATGAACACGACCACATTCATCTAATTTTTAAAGGTTTTTTTATTAGAGACGAGGCCTAGGTTCACGTATGGCCCAAATCAGTCTTGAATTCTAGGGCTCAAGCAATTCTGCCACCTTTGCCTCCCGCAAAGTGCTGAGATTACAGGTGTGAGCCACCGAGCCTGACCCACATTAACTTTTATTATAAAATTGAGGGTAAACATGAAAAAATGAAAAAAAAGAAATAAATTAAAATTGAGGGTAAATTCTTCAGTGGTGTCAGGGGGAGAAAAACTGATATCCAAATCCAATCTTAAAAATCATCCTTGGCCAGGTGCGGTGTCTCACACCTATAGTCCCAGCATTTTAGAAGGCCGAGGTGGGTGATCACCTGAGGTCAGGAGTGTAAGACCAGTCTGACAAATATGGTGAAACTCCATCTCTACTAAAAGCACAAAAATTAGCCAGGTGTGGTGTTGGGCGCCTGTAGTCCCAGTACTCAGGAGGCTGAGACAGGAGAATCGCTTGAACCTCGGAGGCAGAGGTTGCAGTGAGCCAAGAATGCACCATTGCACTCGAGTCTGGGCAACAGATCAAGACTCTGTCTCAAAAAACAACAACAACATCCTTAATGTGTGTACTCATATAGACAACTGTTCTCTAGACAATTTTTCTATCATGGAAGAACTGCTATCATATATATATAAATGAATTGTTACCTATAAAGGGAGAAAACTGGAAACAAGTGTCCACAACAAGAGACCAGCTAAAGGTATAAAAATTATAAGTTACTAGGTTTTCAGTCTGGGATGATGAAAGGGTCTGAAGGTGAACAATGGTGATGGTTGTACGACAATGTAAATGTACCCAATGTCACTGAACTGTACCCTTAAAAAGGTTTACAATGGCAAAAATTTAATGTTATGTACATTTTCAATGAAAAAAGCAAAAAAGGAAAAGTGTACCCTGTAATATAGATTTCTATTAATGTGGGGAGATTTTCCCTATGTATGTTAAGAGGAGGGGGAAAATAGGCTTTACAATAAAAAAATAAAACACTAGAAAGATATTTAGAGCAAAAGGGCTCACAATGGAGGCTGTCCTTAGTGGTTGGGTTGTAAGCAATTTTTGCATCCTTGCCTGTTTTAAATGTAATCTGAAATAGATTAAATATTTATTAAATAATAAATGTAATTATTTCAGATTGTGTGACTATATTAGTAAGAGAAAATTCACAGCCTTTAAACCCATTTTATATCAAGTTTATTCTAAGAAAACAATTCAACCACAGTTAACAAAATACATGAATGGCCAGGGGCAGTGGCTCACTACTGTAATCCCAGCACTTTGGGAGGCCAAGGTGGGCAGATCACCTGAGGTCAGGAGACCAGACTGGCCAACATGGCGAAACCCGGTCTCTACTAAAAATACAAAAAAAAATTAACTGGACGTGGTGATACATGCTTGTAGACCCAGCTACTTGGGAGGCTGAGGCAGGAGAATCACTTGAACCCAGTAGACCAAGGTTGCAGTGTCGAGATCACATGACTGCACTCCAGCCTGGGCAACAGAGTGAGACTCCATCTCAAAAATAAATAAGTAAATAAATAATAAAATAAAGGAAAAAATACATTAATGAAATTAGCATTATGTTAGAAATGTATATTATGGTATTATAGCAATACTGAATATTGTATAGCATTTAAAAGTGCTAGATTTATAAACAGCTCATACCAATCAATAATAATAACCTTACAGAAAAATGGGCAAATAGTATTAACAGCCAAAAGGGAAAAATGGCAAATCGTAACACTGGTGCCCAACTTCACTCAAAATTCAAGAAATATACAAACTCCCATTGTTTTACCTATCAGATTAACAGTGCATGCCCTGTGACCCAGCAATTTTCTGACAGGAATTTACAAATAGGCAAAAGGAAATTCACTGCAAAATTGATTGAAATTGCCGGGCGCGGTGGCTCAAGCTTGTAATCCCAGCACTTTGGGAGGCCGAGGCGGGTGGATCACAAGGTCAAGAGATCGAGACCATCCTGGTCAACATGGTGAAACCCCGTCTCTACTAAAAAACCCAAAAAAATTAGCTGGGCATGGTGGCGCGTGCCTGTAATCCCAGCTACTCAGGAGGCTGAGGCAGGAGAATTGCCTGAACCCGGGAGGCGGAGGTTGCGGTGAGCCGAGATCGTGCCATTGCACTCCAGCCTGGGTAACAAGAGCGAAACTCCGTCTCAAAAAAAAAAAAAAAAAAAAAAAAAATTGATTGAAATTAAAATTTAAGTATCTATTAGTAGAGAATAAGCTAAATAAATGTTGGTATATCTATAACCAACAATAAAATGCCAATAAGCTTTAATAAAAAATATTTAGATCTGGCCAGGCACGGTGGATCATGCCTGTCACCCCAGCACTTTGGGAGGCTGAGGCCGCTGGATCACAAGGTCAGGAAATTGAGACCATCCTGGCCAACATGGTAAAACCCCATCTCTACTAAAAATACAAAAGTTAGCCAGGCGTGGTGGCGCATGCCTGTAATCCCAGCTACTTGGGAAGCTGAGGCAGGAGGATCGATTGTTTGATCCAGGGAGTCAGAGGTTGCAGTGAGCTGAGATGGCAGCGCTGTACTCCAGCCTGGCACAGGAGACTCCATCTCAAAAAAAAAAATCTAGATGTTCTAAATACGGAAAGATACCCAAGCTTCAATTAGTAAAAAAAAACTAGAACAAAAACATATATTAGGTTGGTGCAAACATAATTGCAGCTTTTCCTACTCCTAAAAAATATATATATACACACACACGTATGTATGTAATGGCAAAAGCCATAACTTTGCCATTACATACATACACATGTATGGCAAAAACCACAATTACATTTGCTCCCACCTAACAATATTGTGTTCAGTTTTACATATGCAGATTTTAAATAATATCACAATAATAAGAGAAAAGAGGCTTTTTAACATTTCAACTTTATACTGTTGGAACTTAACATTATAGACTGCTTTTAGTTTAGAATTAAAATGACAGCCAGGCACAGTGGCTCATGCCTATAATCCCAGCACTTTGGGAGGCAGCAGCAGGAGGATCACTTGAAGCTAGCAGTTTGAGACCAGTCTCTATCCTATCTCTGCCAAAAAATTTAAAAATAAGGCATAGTGGTACAAACCTGTAGTCCTAGCTACTCAGGAAGCTATGGCAGGAGGATGACTTAAGCCCAGGAATTCAAGTTTACAATGAGCTATGATTATGCCACTGCACTCCTGCCTGGGCATCAGAGCACAACCCTAGCTCTAAAATAAATATATAAATGAAATTTTGTTTCTTTTAGTGATAGCAACGACTTCAGTAAAAATGCTCATTAGGAATGAAAGATAAAATGTTAAGCTAAAAAGCAAAGGCAATTATGGGTAAGGGCTTAAAGTGTTTAACATAGTTATACTGCCTTTTTATGTTTAATGTTCAAAATGTCAGTTAAAAACATACTATACTTTGCTAGAGTTAAAAAAAACTACCCCTATCAAGTGAAAAGAGTAGTCCATTTATTTTTGTTTAGCTCAATAACTAAAAGCTAAAGTAGTTTGTTTAATTGTACAGAACACAACCTAGCAAAAGGAACTCACAGTGCTTCTTGATATTCTATAGTAAGGTAACGGAAGCCTTTATATTGCTCAGAGCTTTGCTTCTAATATGTTATAAAAGCTGTTGGCTTTCAGAAATGAATTGATCTGGGTTAAGTTGAGATCAAAAGCATATCAAAAATAATGTGTCAGAATATAGAAGTAAATGTTCAAATATTTAGACTTAACGTACTTTCTTTTTTCTGTTTTTTTTAAGATGGGGTTTCACCATATTGGTCAGGCTGGTCGAGCTCCTGACCTCAGGTGATCTGCCCACCTCGGCCTCCCAAAGTGCTGGGATTACAGGCGCCCATGAGCCACTGTGCCCAGCTGACTTAACATACTTTCAAAACTGCCTGAAAATGTGATATGTATTTTTTTTTAGATTCTTACAAAGCTTTTTTATTATTCTTCATACACACACACAGACACACACACACACACACACACACACGTAAGTATATACTTTAAGTTCTGGGACACATGTGCAGAACGTGCAAGTTTGTTACATAGGTATACACGTGCCACGGTGGTTTCTGTACCCATCAACCTGCCTTCTACATTAGGTATTTCTCCTAAAGCTATCCCTTCCATAGCCTTCCCACCCCGCCCCCATAGGCCCCAGTATGTGATGTTTCCATCCCTGTGTCCATGTGTTCTTATTGTTCAACTCCCACATGTGGTGTTTGGCTTCCTGTTCCTGTGTTAGTTTGCTGAGAATGATGGTTTCCAGCTTCATCCATGTCCCTGCAAAGGACATGAATTCATTCTTTTTTATGGCTGCATAGTATTCCATGGTGTATATGTGCCATACTTTCTTTATCCAGTCTATCATTGATGGCCCTT